CGACCGTACGTACCAGAATCGCGATTCATCAGCTCATATGTAAACTGCCCATTGCGCTCTTTTACTTGAAGAGGCTCTCCCTCCCGCCTTTGCAACGGATCCTGACTGCCTGATTTTGACGCCGCAAATGCCTTTTGCAATCCACTAAGGGTTGGTTCTCGTCCTTGCACCACCCCTTTGTAGTCCGCCTCGAGGAGGATTCCCATACTATGGACGACGGCGTTCGCACCATTCAGAAAGGGTTTGTAGGTTTCCGGCTTAAGCATATCGGCCTTAGCCCATTCAACTGAGCTGGCCCAGCTTGGACGACTGAGAGAACCAGTGACGGTATCCCATCGCGGTTCTCCGGAGCGACTAATACCAGTGTATATGAATTAGGCAGATTCCCCAAGATATCAAATCCAATAGCATTCGTACCTGAGCGACGTAACCTCCCATCCTCTAGCAACAGCCGATTTGCAAATCCTCGAACCTTTACGGGAAATAAGCTGTTAGCATTGATTGCTCAATCGTCCGGCTGGTAGGTACATAGACTGCCTGCATCACATACCCAAGAAGCCGTTTCCGCCGGCGACAACCACCCTTTTTGCTGCCATTGTAGGGTGAAATCAATTGAAGTCGGAATGAACGTGGATTTTTGTGAGGATCAAAATACTGAAGTCAACGAATCATTTTCATGAAATCCAAAACGCCGGAGCTCGAACCCGGAGGAAGCAACGACCGCCCGCCGCAGCTCAGCTTCCGCCGGATTCCTTATCGTATCACCCGCATCCGTCACGTGCGACTGCAGAGATTCCGCGGCCTGGATCGCGACAAGAGCGACACTAGAACTACTCAATCCCCTGTTAACCATCGATACATTTTCTTCGCACCCGGTATCTGCATACGACCTGCTTATCTGAAACAGATTATATCGTCAGACTTGCAGCATGCCATCAGCGACAGGAACCAAGCGCGTCAGAGTGAGTCCATCCCTCCCAGATTTATACAAGACCAAGCCGACCGACTAACCTATCACAACTATACAGGGCGTCTCTGTCTTCCGGCCCTTCGGTATGCCTCTGCTTGCCACTAATCTTCCAGTTCTCAAGTCAAACCCATCCTAACAAGTCATGACAGTCTTTGGCAGTGAAGCCCAACCCTTCGACCCAGCCAAGAAACCTCCCCACGTCCCAGCAGACCACACGCACCAGTGGCGCGTATTCGTGAAAGGCGTCAACGGCGAAGACATCTCCTACTGGCTAAAGAAAGTACAATTCAAGCTCCACGAGACTTACGCCCAGAACGTGCGAACGATCGAACAGGCCCCCTTCGAAGTGACCGAGACCGGATGGGGTGAATTCGAGATCCAGATCAAGCTATACTTTGTTCCGGAGTCAACCGAGAAGCCGCAGACCCTATGGCATAGCTTGAAGTTGCATCCGTACGGGCCAGACGCAGAAGCGAAGAAAGAGCGCCGCGAGCTGGTGGTCAGCCAGAACTACGAGGAGGTGGTGTTCAATGAGCCCGTGGAGCAGTTTTATGAGCTCTTGACGGGTGGCGCGGGGGCGACAGGGCAACCGCAGAAGGGAAAGGGTGGAAAGAATACCAAGCAGGCCCAGCAGCAGCAGAAGGGGGTGAGGACGGCTGAGATTCCGGCGAACTCGTCCGCGGAGAATCCGTATAGTCGGACGACGGAGAGTAGTGAGATGGATCGGTTGGGGGAGGCGAATAAGACGGTTGAACGGATGATCAAAGAGGAAAGGGAACGGTTGATTGAGCGGGAGAAGAAGTTGGCGGAGTTGCGTGCGAGTGAGGGCGTTCCGGCTACTACGAAGAAGCGTTAAGTGTTGAGAGTATTGGGATGTGGATGTTTTGATTACACATCTTAAGACGTGCTCTACTCTCGTGTTGATACGCTTCGGTTGCCCGGCTGGCGTCGTTATTGTCCAGCGAGATATGGGATCTTCGTGCTGGCATTGATAAACCGGGTTCCCCGAAGTACTCCCTTTCTAGGGTGGGATAAGGCACAACATCAGTCGCCTACGGGGACCTCAACGGGCTCATCATCCTGGTATGCTGAGCCCTCGCTGTATTGCTACTTCCAGATTTATTCCCTTGCTGGTGGAATTGCAGGGACATAGATCTATACGACTCGGAAGCCTGCAGTGAACATTTCCGGTTCACTCCTGTCATGATACATTTGACGCATACATAGTTACCACTAGGAGCACACATACAAAGTCAAGGCGAACATTGGCTTGCTTATCTTCGATATCTTCACCTGCTTGATTAGGGCCCATATCCTCCAGTATGTACTTTCACTGCTTATGAGCCACGACTGTCCACACGGTCTGGTCCTTGGCTCATCTGGGAGCCACCCCGTATGACGACAATGTAGAGCACTATGCACTCCCATATGCAAACTAATCATCCCTCCTCTCATATAATAGTTATTCGTCTTTTGGTGAATCCAGCAAACATTGCTGTTCAGGCCAATACGAGAAACGAAAACAACAATCAACCCGCTTTTTCCTGAGCCGCACTCGACAAGGTCCATAAGGAGGTGATGATGCGATGAATCGGCTTATGAGAAAGCCATAATCTGTTTTTTGGACTGTAGTGAGCCTACTGGCTGAGGCAGACGTAGCTTTAGGGACGTCATCACACCGTCAACTCCGAGGAGAACGTAATGAAGGCTTAAAAGGTGTATTTGAGGACAAGCTCGAGTCCGTAGAATTAGACATGAGCAGTGCCAGGCGGGATGGATTTTAGTGCTGCAAAGTCTGCTGAATGTGCATCGCAGCGACAACTGAAGTGGTAGTAGCGCGGTCCATAGCAGTGCACCAAATAAGGCAATAGGACTCCTCCGGCGAAGTTCGTAGGTTTTCTAAAATCCTCCCAACTGCGTGAATGAGCCTCCGGTGGATCATCATGGTAGCATTAGCGGTCGCAAAGGTCATGTGAAGTCAAGATCGGGCATTGGACCTAGAAGCAGCGGCTCGCTGCAGGTTGGGTCAATGTATGCGGATAGCAGCCCCGGCGAGAATATGCCTTGTGCATCAGTCTCCACAGGCCTGGATGTGTCATTGCTGCTAACGACAGAGAGCCAAGCATTATTTTCAGGTGGATAGTTGGGCCCATTCCTTGAGGCTAGAGGCACCGCGTTGCTGGTTTGTGGATATCGAGACTCGATCCAGGCCGTAAATGTTTCTGCTGCAACGCTCCGGAGGAAATAGTGAGCTCGATTTGCGATAGGCCACTTCTGTTTCAGTGTCTTCAGACAACCTAGAACCAAGATGATTCGGTTACAGTGATGATCCGAGCATTCTGAGGAATGGATACGACTTGTGGCAAGCTGGACCATTCCACAGAGCACTAAGCTGAACACGACAAATGGACTGTATCTCTGCACGCTGGGCCGGACTGAGAGAAGATTGGAGAGTTGCTTGGATGCCTCTGTAGCTTTGATATCATGAACATGTCGGGTGAAGGATGGCGAAAGCCGAGATGGAATCACTGGGCAAATTGGGCACTCTGTTTCTGGACAGACGGGCCGCAGACTGCTTCTTGGAAGATGCAGGAGCATTGCAGCAAAGTGGATAGTAGTGTGCGCCTGGAAAAGTATTTCATCGACGCTGCCGTACGTATCCACGATATCGACTTTGTTTGGTGGAAGGTGATTTGTCCAACTGACAAGCGCATTCTCCACAGCTTGTAAATGATCCCTATGTGTTTCTGGCAGGCTATTCAGGACTAATACCCGTGCCAGGATGCATACCGCTTCGATGCGGTAGCTGAAAGATGAGTAGCTTGTTTCTTCATCAGCGAAGATGCGTTTATTGAATCCAGCAAGAGTCGGAGGTGAGGGTATATTAGTGTAATTGGCATATACGGACTCCTCACAAGGCAAAGCAACGTCGTAAGGAACACCGCTGCATCGCAAGACCACTCTCTTCTGCAAGGCTGCCATGTAAACATCGACGATGAAAAGCTCCCACCAAGTCCGGCGCAGGCTCTCAGCTTCCACGGCATTAGAAGACGTGGACGCAAACTCTTGCCGGTACATTCCTAGTTCTAACGCAATGTCGACAGCTTGGGAAAAGGATGTGTGAGCTTGCGAGCACTCGCCGCGAGCGCATGAAAGTATCGAATAAAGCAAAAGTGCCTGAACCTTGCATGGCGTCCTTTCTCCATCAGCGCTCAGTTGCACACTGGCCATATCAGGAAGGGAGCCAGTAGATAAGAAATGGCCACCTATGAGTGTGACGACTTCATGCAGGTACGCTGGGTACTTGCGTTCTTCATACAAGGGCGCGGGAACCAGGATTGGATGCGCTGAGTGAAAGTTTTCATAATACAGGCGGACTAGCCGAGCATCCGAATCTGCAGCGTCTTGAACTTGGCCTTCCACGACTGGGGTGATGCGCTGGTTCTGCTGACCAGAAACAGTCGAAGAAGCATCACGCCCACTCATATCGGTAGGGTGAGGTGACAAGAGCAGGTCCGCGGAAGATGCATCGTGATGCTGCCGAAGTGCTTCACGGGTTTTCCGTCTCCCTCCACGTCTAGAAGGAAGATAATTACACTTTAGTCGGTTCTGTAAGCAGCGAGAGCAGGTGGGGGTTTGGGCGTCGCATTTCAGATGCTGCTTGCGACATTCCGTACAGGCCAGCGGTGACGGACGAGTCATGTTCAGTAATCTGGTTGGAAGCTCTCGTTCATCCTGACATGAAACCAAAGAAAATAATTAGTAGTAGCATATTATGAAGACAAACAGACCCTTGTTCCGGGGGTGATGAGACAAGAAGAATCCAGCTGGCGTCGAAGCAGATACAGTCATGGAAATGCACACTTTATGGTCCATGCCTACTCGGGCAAATGCAGACTCATAAGCTCACATGACTAAGCTATTTCCATACACTATAGGTATAAAGAAGCAAGTAAATGTCGCCACTTGATTTCTTTACACGAAGTCCATCAAATTTACTTTATCACTTAGAAGTATACTTTATTCTTAGGTGAGCGCATCTGAAATGCAAATTCAAAATACCTTCTATGGGAACAAGACCATTACTATCCAATCTGCATCATTTACCTCGAAGGCTGGCAGTCTATTTGAAAAAGACATTGAACTGGGTATTACTATGCATGGCTTATTCGCCTCGAAGTGATCCAGGTCGCTGTAATACATAGATGCCAACAGAAACAGTCCCTGGAATATCATATGCCAGGTCCGCCAAATCCCAGTCCAAATGCATACAGGTTAATCAACGCTAGTCGTAAATCATAGCGAGTGTCCTGCACTCGTCTGTCCTTGTCCAAGGCCTCCTCTCACCCCCTAAGATGCCTGATAGACATGGCTGCTCCGTCCAGTGTCGCGATCATAGATGTTGTAGCCGAAGTCCGCAGCATTAGGCGGCGTATACACTGCAGATGCGTCAGACACCAATAACTTTCCGCAAGATCGAGGCCAACTCACAGTGCAAAGAAACAGCAACTTGATCCTTCTGTGGATTCATGACCCTATGCAGTCCGATCTGGTCACAGATATACGCAACTTCGTCGGTCTTGTACGTTGTCTCTTGCTTGACCGTCAAAGGCGCATCATGACCTCGTTCGGGATCTGGCGTGTCGTATATCACTTCATTCAGTTCTCCCCCGAGAATCTTCATGATGCAGTGCGCATCTGCGTGATCATGGATTGGCGAGCCTTTCTGAGGGTTCCAAACCAGAACCAGCTGTTGGAGTGTTAGTGGTCAAGGACCATAACGTTCTACAGAGTTAGGACTGACCAGGTTGGCACGGCCATTGATATCCTCCACCAAGTTGCGAGTATAGTTCTTGCTCACGTCGTTGCGGGCGAATCGTGACCAGTCTTTAGGGTTGGAAGCGTATTTAGACATGAAGGCAATCAGAACGTTGTGGTCAACATTTTCTCCATCAATGCCTCGAGAGCTACCCAGGTAGCTTCTCAGGTCTTGTACAAGCTGCTCAAACGTATAGTTGTCCTCTTCGACCAATAACGGAGCCGAGTCCTTGTTCAGATGAGAGGTAGTGTAGCTGGCAGCAGTGCCAGGGAAAGATGCAAGCATTGTAGTAGCCATTGTTGTCACCAAGATGGATAAGTCGAATATTGAAAGTCTGGTACCTATTAGAAGTGGAACATGGTCTTTCCCTTGTTCCTTTATAACCTAATGGAGCTGTGATATTGGTAGCTTTAGATAAAGTCCCAGCTCCGTACTTTGTTCAACACACACAGCCTTTGGATGGCCGACAAGTTCAATCGGCGACCGGGGAGACACCTATCGGCGATTGCGAATCATCCAATGAAAGCGCCGCGAATAACCATCAACCAATGAAAAGCTCCCATCAACCACAGAGCAGACATTCAGTAACCCCTTGAACAACCCCCGGAATCCGATCTACACACCGCGTGCGACAGACAATTGTCCAGCTCAGGATCTCCTGAAAAGGCTCATGACGACGATAACCAAGTTCTAGGCCACTTGACCGCGCATATCATTACGTGGAGGTTTTGATCCTTCTGTCACAAAGAATGCCCAATTTAATCTAATTAATCCTATCATACTATACACAACTCATTTATACTATACAAACCTGCGCATAACCGTCCTCAACCTATCAACAGACCTCAGAACAGCCCGCGAGCTACTACCCCCGAGCCTAGCCGACGACATAGACATCGTAGATACACCTCTCCTACTACTACCACTCCCCATAACCTCGGGAACATTCACAGGCATCCAAAGAAAAGCCCTCCGCCGATTCCCCGTATCACCCCAAGGCAATCTCCCACCCCGAACATTAACCTGCAACGAAGGATGCAAGAGACGAGGTTCACCCAACGCAGCATCCCTCTCCTGTCTCCATTTCACGAACTCCTCTTCCCCAGTCCCCTCCTTCACATGCTTATTCCCCTCTTTCTGATCCTTGACCGTCACAAAAGCCTTAGGCGCCCGATTAGTCGTAGAATCCCCCTCAACCGCAGGTGGATAATCATGCCCCGTATACAGCTTAACATGCTCCGGTAGCGCCAACAGCTTCCGCATCGTCTGATACAAGGCGCGGGCATCTCCATGCGGGAAATCACACCGCGCACTGCCCACATCTGGATTGAAGATCGAGTCCCCCGTGAATACATTGCTGCCTATCATGTATCCACTGTGATCGGGCGTGTGGCCGGGCAGATGGAGGACTCGGGCGGTGATGCGTCCGATTTGGAAGGTCTCGTCATCTTGGAAGAGGTGGTCGAATGCGGTGGAGAGGTCGTTGGGCGGGATGTTGTATCGTTGTGCGAATGTGGCTTGGACTTGGCGGATGCGGTGGCCGGTGCAGATGGGGACTTTGGGGCTTGATTCTGTTGATGATGAGGCGGAGAGTGAGGAGCGCTGTTGATGATGGAGCTTGGTCTGGATGTAGTGGGCTGCGGTGAGATGATCGGCGTGAGCGTGTGTCTCGAGGATTCGAGTGATGTGATAGCCCTTTGAGGCCGCAAGATCAAGAAGTTCGTCGGCTGAGGTTGTAGTCACGGTGAGTTGGGATGGATCGAAGTCGAGGACTGGGTCGATGATAACGGCTTCGTGTGTCTCGGGACAGGCTACGATGTATTGCCATGTTGAGGTTTGTTTCTCGAATATGGGATGGATGATTGGTTCCATCGTGTAATGTTGCTGGTGCCTCTTCGTCTGTTCGTTGTGTAGATATTGCGATAGTGATGTATATACTTCGTTCATGTAGATTTTTTGACTTCATACATATGAACTGATGCGCATGTCGCTTCTTTTCTAGAATGTTTTCTCTTTTTATACGTAGAAACCTCTTACATATATTCAATCCTCTTCTCGGGCGAGACACTAATACTATGACTCTATACAATTGCCATCTCAATCCCGATCCCCGATCACCTACCTCGCCGACCTGAAGGCTTTTCAAGGTCCCCGGGTTCCTATCCAAATTCGGTAGTAATACTATATCCATCTCCTTATCTTATCCGCCACTGCACCAAAACAACTGAACAGCAACTACTAACAATATGATCTATAAAAAGCAACCACAAGCCCACTGAACGCCATGACCACCAGACATACGTATCACCGCCCCAAACCACCTTCCCGGGCACTCAGGAGTACTTGAATTCTTCAGATCTGCAACAACATATCTCACTGGCCGAGAATTGCGGTGTGCATCGCCATAATGGCGTTGATGGTGTGATAAGCCGGTCGCCGAACGGATAAGCTTCAATCGCCGATACCCTTTTTCGCGGCACCACCCCTTGATTTTGTCTTGGTTGAGACCTGCCTGCTCGGAATGTGAGACTTGGATACCCAGATTACAGGTCGGGGATTTTGCCCGGTTGAATTTTGTTGTTAGATGTTGATTGGATGGGCTGATAGGTTGGCTGGCTGTGTTCTATGATATGGGAGGGCAAGGGGTTTCCCGTGGGAAAGGAAAAGTTGGTGCTATGGGAGAGAAGGACGGTCACGAGAACAATGACCGCATAGGTTCCTAGTTGGGTTACTAGCAGGAGATTAAAGGGGAGGTCCTTGGTCAGATGTCTCGTTCATCTGATATATTGGGAGCGGGCTGGTTGGTGCTTGATTTGAGAGGTGTATCATGGTTTCGATATGCTACGGTAGGGCTTTGTTGGTCGCCGAATCGGTGTTGATTTGTCTTTTTCACTTAGCACAGGGAACGATAACTTCGTTCTTCGGGGACTTGCAATTGGCGGTATTTTGCGGATGTCGAACATACTTGACATGCTCACTCGTTGTGTTGGGATGTGAGAAGCTCGTTACGTAGTTTATGTGCTACATATGGGAGTTACTGATATAACAGTGTCCTCTTGTGGACGATCACAGGGGATGTTCTAGCGCCATTCTCGAAGGAGACCAGTGGGTATCAGTGTCAAGGAGAGCTGGAAGATCGCTTGGCCTGGTTGGCCCCTTCTTACAGCTCTGCTTGCTTCTGTGTAACGGTACTCCTGCTTGCCGATAAGGTGGGAACAATGGCTGCATGGCCAATATCCGTAATAGAGGAGATGCATTGATGAATATAAACGATTGTTCTGCCACTTATCACTACATTAACGGGTCTCCAACCACCACGTGTCCCGATAAATACGGAAGAAATGATTCAAGTGTGCTTCTATCATGATGTAAGTGGAGGCAGATAGATGACAAGCGATAAGACTCAGTTGCTGCGGATCCCCTCGGATATCATCGAAAGTCCAGCTTTCCCGTCATCCGTATCCGCCTCCGCTCCCGTCCCCGCAGGTGCCTGTCTTCAACATGTCCTATGAAGTAATTGTGCAACAAGAAAATCCTCTAGTAATCAATCATGATTCGGTAGTTGCAAGGGGTAATGAAATTCATGAAACGATTTGCTCATATGGTATCAAAAGTCGCATCGCCAAAAAGTTCAGTTGCATCGCTGCGGTTTTAGTCGGTGTAGCTGGCTGTAGCCTTCGTTGTGTCCCTGGTCTGTTTAAGAAACGGTATCAGATCTGTCCCGCCCGTTCCTCTGACACCGGCGTTGAGTTTCTCATGAGAATTGTCCACTATTGTCGACGTTGTCGTGGCCAGGTTTGTTCTCGAAGATACTTGGTTTGGCGGCGGAGTCCTGGCAGCCATGATAATGTATCGAGTCACCATCCGCACATGCTTATCGCGGAATCCCCCAAGTGACATAACCGCCATATTGTATGCATCCCTCAAAGCAGATCCTGGCTTGTGGCTCAATACATAGGTTCTCACATTGGACGTGCGGAGCATCATTTCCAAGAAGCGTCGGTGAGGGCCTGGCATGTAGTTTCGCATGTTCTGGAAACATCCAGTCAGTATCGAAATTGCTTGGTCTGGATGCTTCCTTAGAGATCAACTCTTACCTGCATAAAACCAGTCATGGCTTGAGGATTGATCTTGCCGTGAGGCTTGGTCTCTCCGGTGGCTGAATGCTCCACGCCCAAGAAAATGTCGAAGGCTTGGATCAACGAACTCTGGGCATTGCTACCACCACTGTATTGGTGCCACTCGCCTCGGCCTTCTCCAATATCGTAGAATACACCATTTGGTAACCCAGCCGATGCCATGTTCTTACTGCCGGCCAAGTATGGGCGTAGTTGATGGTAAAAGATGGGTGGCGCACAATTTTCATACATGCGTTCCAAGAGGTCACCAAGTTCCTTCAGACCATAGTTCAGTTGCTCGAGACGAGAAACAACACGCTGGTTATCATCGACATTGGCTCCATGCATAGCGTCCAGCATTATCTCGATGAGCTGCGCTCCCTTGGCCTCGATAGCGACAGAGAGAACGAAAAACCATTCTTCGTCTTTGGTGCCAGTAAACGAGGTCACCACGGATAGGTTGTCCGGATCCGTAACGTCTGTATCAGCGGCTGGTACTGAAAAGTTCCAAAGATTGAGGGCAGCATAAGTGGCACATGGTGGTAGCTCTAAGTGATTCGATACTTCGATGAATGGGCGTGAGATGCAGGGGGGTAGCACCTGTATAGTTCGTGTTAGTGAAGGCACGAAAAATGTCGTAATAGGCAAGAAAGTTAGTATTGAAGGAAGGGGAGTAATACATCTTTCGGCTTGTCACCACCCCAGATGTAGGCGTGTGTAAGGTAAGCAAGCACAACATATGCTCTCCGCCACTCAGGTTCTTCCCGCAACTTCTTCGTAGAGAGTATACCAAGGTCGTCCACAGACCTCCTGATGGTGCCTGACTGTATGAGCTCAGGCAACTTTTGAGCGAGGTCCTCCCACGGAGAATAGTAAGGGTCTTCCAATCTCCGTAAGGGAGGAACTTCCGGGAGGAACCCGTTCTGGAGGGAGACACCGTACTCAATAAGCGAAATCTCTGGTGTGTAAAGCATGTTAAGATGTGCAATTCAGTATATGGCTTGATATACAAGACTTAGTGGAATAGTTCATTATGCAGGTAAGAGTAGATTCAAGTGTTTATATCGTATTCCCAAGGAGGGACGGAAGAAAGCCGGATCCACGGGGATCCAAGCAGGGGCATCTGAATGAGCAAAGACGGGTTATTCTCCGTTCCACAACGACCATTCTAGAGCAGAAAGGCAGTAGGTCAGCGGAAACTTAGCAACCACCCGGGTTTCTGAAGTGGATGCTGTGTTATCGCTCTTCCGGCAACACGGATGGTGAGGCGGAAGCGGAATGGTATCCGGATCCGGTGGGAGGGACAAACGGAAGTGCCTTGTCACACGCCAGTCCATATATAAATGTTAATAGGTGACTGTCAGCGGCTGGTTTCTGGCATTCATCCATTCCTTCTTGTTATCCTTTGATATTTTGTTCAAATACCATCCAGATCCACAATGTCGAAGTCGAATGGCGTCGGCCTGGCATTCCCCGCCGAAGCAGCAACGAAGGAATATGCAGCATCGCTAGACTCTTCTGATAGCCTTGCTGCGTTCCGGGAGAAGTTCATCGTCCCATCGAAAGCAAACATTGCTTCCAAAAAGCTAGCAAAGCCTGGTTAGTCCTATCCTGACAGCTGAAGATCTCGTCACTGATTGTCACAGGCCTTTCGCCCGAGTCATGCATTTACTTCTGTGGTAACTCACTTGGCATTCAACCCAAAGCCACAGCAAAGTACTTAGAAGCACAGTTGGACACTTGGTCATCTATTGGAGTTGGCGGCCACTTCACTGATCTTGAGGGCTCACCCTTGAAGCAATGGCAGCTGCTCTCAGAGCAAGCAGCTGAATCAATGAGCAAGATTGTGGGAGCAAAGCCAGAAGAAGTCGCAGCGATGGGAACACTTACAACGAACCTTCATCTTCTGCTGGCTAGTTTCTACAAGCCGACACACACCAAACACAAGATCTTGATGGACTGGAAGGCTTTCCCAAGTGATCACGTATGTTCGAAAGAGGCTGCCTTCTGCTATCACGGCGCTGACTTTGATATAGTATGCTATCGAATCTCATATTGCCTGGCACAACCTGGATCCTAAGGAGTCTATGGTGCTCATCGGCCCAGACGAAGGCGAATACGAGGTTTCCACGCAGAAGATTTTTTCATATATCGACAAACATGCTGATGAGGCTGCTATGATCCTCCTTCCTGGCATCCAATATTATACTGGACAACTGTTCGACATTCAGAAAATTACTAAATATGCTCATTCACGCAACATGGTTGTTGGCTGGGATCTGGCCCATGCCTTCGCTAATGTTGAGCTAAACCTGCATGATTGGAACGTTGATTTTGCAGCATGGTGCACGTATAAGTACGGAAACGCTGGTCCTGGGGCAATGGGGGGCCTTTTCGTGCATGAACAACACGGAGAAGTCGATTACAGCGCTGGAGAGGATGCACCCAAATTCCGTCACCGTCTAACCGGATGGTACGGTGGTGATCGATCGGTCAGATTCAAGATGGATAACAGTATGTGTGCACTTTGCTATAGAGAACGCCGTGGGCTAGTAAGCTGATTCGATTGATATCCAGAGTTCAAGCCGATTCCTGGCGCTGGAGGGTTTCAGATATCGAATCCTTCGGCCATCGATCTTGCGTGTCTTTGTGCCGCCCTATCGGTGTTTGATGAAACATCAATGGCAGATCTTCGCAAGAAATCAAAGATGCTAACAGCATACCTCGAGTTCCTTTTGCTCAAGGATACTGAAGAGGAATCCAGGCCGTTCAGCATTATCACGCCCACGGACCCCGATGCGAGAGGCGCACAACTGAGTCTGCTACTCAAGCCTGGCCTGTTGCAAAATGTTGCGCAGAAGTTGCAGGAAGCAGGAATAGTCTGCGATAAGCGGGAGCCGGGTGTCGTGCGTGTTGCTCCGGTCCCTTTGTACAACAGCTTCAGCGAGGTTTGGACATTTGTGAATATCTTCAAGGGTGCACTACAGCAGTGACGAGGGTTCACTAGATCGCTTATGCAGGACTGAGACCGATGTTGATAGTGCGCTCTTTGATGGATAATTTTAAAGATAGATACCAACATATTTTATTTTTAGCGTGGGAGCTTGAAGATCCCTTTGAGAAACGGTCCACAGTCACTGTGCAAAAGCAAATAATCAATGTAGGGACTCTATGATAGACTCGTACTGTTGAGATCATAAGTTTCCGAATCCATTCCTCGGGTCACCACTTCGCAGAAAGTCCTGGGCTTGCGAAAAGAAGTTTGTGGCTAATATTGAGTATTCATCGTAAGTAGGCGAGCCAACGCCCATAGGGTACTGTGCGTCGGCCGTGATGATTGGGGTCTGAATGTTGAATTGAGATGTTGGCGACTGTGGTAGAGATTGTTGTGTATGCAAACGGAAAGGCTCCGGTAAAGGGGACGTCTGCGACACTTCGGCTCCGGGTGTGGGAGCTTCAGAATAGAGTGAGTCCCCAAACATGCGACGGGCTGACTCTGCATCACTATTGGAAGAATACTCGAGGATCTCCCAGAAGCGCGAGAGATCTATGAGTAAGTACTTATTCTGAGCACCAGACTCAAGTTCATAGGATGCTGACACAGCATCTTCCAAGCTCTGCAATCTGTCCGCCTTTCTGAAAGTCAGCAGACAAAAGTGAGTATGGAAAGACATTTTCTTACCAAACGTGCCATATGTGGCCACCTGCGTCCTAAATTCTGTACGAAACTAACACATTTGTAAAACCTGTTGCGTTTCTCTTCGCGAATGGTAGTGTTCTCCGTGAAGCTAAGCTGCAATTCAATGGTTGCTACCACAGCAGCACTATAGCCCAAGAAAGGATCCGAGACAACGAAAGATCTTTCTTCGAAGTAGTCGATAAAATGAATTATCCATGTCGTGTGCGATGAAATCAAGTCCGAGCTGTGCTGCAAGAAAATCTCGGGAATCGTACTCCGGAAATTTCTGAGGCTTAGAGACAGCAACAGCGGGTGATTTAAAAGACACAGAATCGTATGATATAGGAACTGATTCAGTAACCATGGGCCCCAGTAATCCCTCCTTTCTTGTAAATCCTCAAGTGTTCTTTCACTCAAGTTCGCTGGCTTGAACCTGTGGCTGTATGGCATCTGCGTTTCCCGTTCCATAAGAGCAGTCAATATTCTGGAATACTCTGACTGTGAAGACCACGGGGGTACGTTGCTAGGCTTCCCATGGCGTCTGACATATTTTGCAGTTTTTGCAAATATCTCACTGAGCATGATCACGTATGCTAAAATACCCTGATCCTGCATGCCTGATGACCGTGTTTCATTCGCCCCATTGCTTGATGAAATCGTTGGAGGCGGCCGGCTAGGACTTTCTGGAAACTGGGGAAAGCAGCCATCGGGAAAATCTAGATTGTCGAAATCAACTCCGTGAAGACGCTTCAAGAGACAAATACTCCAGAAGCAGCGCCTGCGCTCTTCACGTGCAGCTGGGGGTTGTATTAAGCCAGACTCTAGGCCAAGGTTGGCACATTGTGCCAAATTCATTGCCAAACTGCAATGGATGCTTGAACGGTGCGTGTTTCCATCTAAAAGTGATCAAGTCAGCAAGGCTATCATTCTGACACGTTAGTGGTCGTATTACTTGCAAAATCCACCAAGCTCAAGAGACATAGGCACTGAAGAGTTGAGAGCTCTATTGGCCCTTCCGATACCCTCCTCATAACCAAGCCCCTGGCTACTTCCGTATAGCCATTAACAAGTGACGTAAACCCGCCAGTCTGCGAACTCTCGTCCTGAGAGAACCGAATGCTCAGTGCCAACATCGCATATACTATCTCTGGGTCACGGCGCCTCAGGCTGTCGAGGAAGCCTTCCTTCTGAAAGAGTGGAAGGGGCTGCGAGTGGCAATATATCAGATAAAGCTCTGCCATCGCGAGCACCTTTTCCCAAGTGGGGAAGGGGATATTTGGGCTTAGAAGGGATGCCACAGCGTTGCTCATTACAGCAGTGCGAGAAACAGCTTCCCGTGGCTCTTGTCTGGGGCTGTTCTGCCTAGATTGAATAGGTTAGAACACGGATAATATCGCATGCGGGAAGCTATGTATTACCCCAGGGCATCGAGAACTTGCCCCATTCTAGCCTCAAGGCTTCCCAGTCGTTCCTCCTGTAGGTGGTTAGAAGAACTCCGCGATAACCCTGGCATATATATTGGCTTACCAAGATCTCCGAGATCCTATTCTCTGAACTGGGAGGCACAGAAGCCGCCTCCCGTGGGATGGCAAGCCCAGTTGTCGAAGACCTCCTATGTTCTCCAGCATAGGCGCATTGCTGGTTTAACCGGGCGCACAAGGAGCAGACTGGCTGCTCCCCAGGGCATTTTGCCTTCTTGCGTCTGTGGAGTGTCAGTGAGTAGTGCGTCATATAGCACAACAGCGGACTAATGTTCCGTCTCACCTGCATGGTTCACAAGCTTGCCGCACTCGCTTAGCCGGCCGCTCAGCAGATGTGGACGCCATGCCACACCCTTATATTTGCGTAAATGTGCAATGTATATAAATCATGGGATACTGAGAGTTTTTTGTCAGTTACGCCTGCTAGTGGAAGCCTTGTGCTGCCGTACGCAGGAGCGCTTATACGCTCCTAAGAGGTACAATATCCCCACTTCTTGAGTATTCTCATTGACAGGTGGCAGTTACCATGAACTATTATCTTCATTGTAAGGCTATCTAAGCCTTAACATCCAAATCGCAGAACAGGCGATATGTACTATGGCTTGAACATTTTGGAGCCTGTGATATTGAACTATCAGCCAAACGTTGGATGGCCTTCCGCTGATTGTCAACTATTTGGCCGTATCTTGTTTCCCAATTTGGACAAAGCGCCATGAAAAGTATGGATGACTAATCTACGGGCAAGCTTCACCTCGATCAGGTAACTACATACAATAATTCTGGGCGATGGTAGCCGATTCGACAACCTTGCGAGGGGAAGCGGCCAGTGCAGCCGAATGATATACAATGTTTGTGTCCCTGAAGCAGGGTACTATACTAGCTGAACCGAGGAAGTTCAGCAGCGTCGCATCGTGCCATTGTAGTAATTCTACAAGCATTTACCGGCTCTGCACCTTCATATGGCGCGACATGTATCTATAGACGCAGCCAAGTGTACAGTTGCAGGCTCCCTCAATCTTGCCTCTCCTTGGATCATTGGTCAATGCTTCTCAATCCCTTAAAACAAGCGGACTATGGCTGGGACACAGGGTACTCGGGGATATACGAGAGAACATGAGGCAGGTATTAATGCTTTGACGCTTTGGAGAAAGTTATATACAACTTCAGTTATCTTTCTTTCTAGCTGCCTATCAGAGAAATAGAGGTACACTGTGTCAAAGTTGGCGAGGACCGCATTTACGCCTTGCCGAACCAGGTCTTGTGGCCCTGTGATGAGCATTAGTAAATCTGCCAATCCACGGACCCCCATTGAAACACGATATTTCGAGATGCAACTTACAAAGACCATACGACCCATAGCGTAGGTGGTAGCTAAGAAAGATACACATTAGCCGTGATCCAGTGTCATGGTGTATTTGAAGAGCCTACCGATGCCCATGCCGTAGACGGAGATGAGGTAGGGCCACATGAGGTAACCACTGCGCTCAGTCTGTAGAGATCCCGTGTGTTAGGTTTCTTCGTTTCTTTTGCGAGCTAGAATTTATTCGCGGATCAACGGACCTTCCACCACTGGCGCTTGCCGTCGTGCTGCTGGAAAAGGCGCTGGTAGTAAGGGACACGGTTCTCACGGAACACGAACCTATGGAAAGCAAAATATGTTAGCAAATTTTGTTCAGTATAGAGTCTTGCTTCCGAGTCCCAATTGCACGGAATATTCAGGCAATTGAGCAGCAAACAGTCCCGACCGACAAGCCGTCAGCCCGGCCGCGCTCAGGAAGCCATGCGGGGGTACAATTGACGAAATGAATTCAGCGAACATACCCAGCCAGACGAGGAGCGGTGCGGAACATTTTGGAGGTGCGCAAAAACGACAATGGGGGTTATGGAGGTGGTAGGAGGGACAATGGCAGATGAGAGGCTAGCAGCAACAATGATCAGTCGATGTCGTGAAGTGTGGACCCGAACGGTCCTTGAATATCACGTGACTACCCTCCCACTTCCGCCTTTAGGATGCGAGGCTTAATAATTATCACGTGAATATGCAAGCTCCTAACCGTAGCGAGTATAGCGTGTTCTAGTGGAAGCCCGGCCTGCCCAGAAAAGAAGTAGTCCGCGGAATCAAAGGTGTGCAGAGCAGAAGAAAGTCGCCATTTACCTGTGTTCACATGTGCCACTAACACACTTTGTGATAGAGTGCGATTTATGAGGATGGTCAGACTTACTGCCGCCTTCCTTTCGCTCTCCTTTCTTCAAACCTCATGCGCCCGGCTCTTCTTCGACTACTGAAGAGGCCGTCAGCTCTCTCGGTTCTCGACTCCCTGATATCGATGCCAATTGGGGTTGAACAATTGGACGTTCGGCGCACAGCTAAATGTGTTCGATGCTTATCCAAGACTCACAAGCAAGCAAGAAGCGCGCCAGCTGCGGAGTTGCAACAAACGCCTGCGAACGATTCCTCTTCCCTATCAACGAAACGAGCACTCAGCTTCCGTATATACGAAATTAATACGCCACACAAACAGGCCGCAGCTAAAGGTGGAGGCTCCGGCGACTCGGCTCAAAGTTCCTTTGCCATAAACCCTCGCAGCCTCGCGTTACAACCGGAGAGATTGGATTTCGAATCGGACATAGGACATACGGATGACATTGGAACTCGATTAGTAGACGACCCGGTGCATCGGAACGATTTTGCACTCTGGGAGGAGCTACTGCGTTACCGGCAGCGACATTATGGTGATAAAGGCACGTTGGATATATGGGAGGGCTTGACGAGCCGAGTTGACGGTGTGCAATTGCCCGTTGAAGGAGAAGTCGCTGATTTCTTTTGGCAAAGCTTCGTGGAAGCTGGCATACGGCACGGTGTCATTCTAAATGAAATCGCTAATTATGCGCTGGCGCTTTGGAATACTACGGGGAAACGTTGGGAGGGTTTTTATGAGGCTGTCGTTGGTGGCTTTATTGACCGTGGCATGACACAGCAGGCTGTTGAATGGCACAAACGCCTTCATCATCCTCATTTGACACACCCGAATGATATCCTGCATGTCTTCCGGCCGATCGCTCGTTCTCGACAGCAAAACAGAGTCAGTGGAGCGATAAAGCCAGGGGGGCGGACTGCCTCATCAAGCTTATGGGCCTTCCGCAGCATCTGCCGCATGACTCCAGGCCACCAGATCTATGCTCCCATCATGTCTACTCTGGTACGCTGTGGCCGTCTTGGCGATGCGCTTTCAATGCACAAACTCCTCATCCAAGAAAATGACCATCCCCACTCTTTCGACGAATTCGAGCCATTACTAGAGAGCGCCAAACAGTACGGGCCATGGGCATTCTACCAAGAGCTTCATAGCTATGCCTCCCAACGCTTCCCTGAAAAGATAAATGAAACCGATGATCCTGACAATATCGCTGCGGAGGCTCAAGGAAAGGTTGCACATGAAGAGAGACCAATAAAGGACGAGTTCGGCGCCCGAATTTTTGCAACGGAGGCTCTTAATTTCGATACAATCCTTTCTGGCTTGAAGATGTTTGGCGTGCCAGCTCTTGGACCGCAATCCCTGCGGGAGATGGCGCTCAGGGCTCGGGGAAGTCAAGATATACTGAGCAAGCTCCGGAAGCTTGAACGAGCAGGCATTTCGCTGGGGAACTCTGTCTTTGTGCGTCTTCTTCGCAAGCTTGCCACGGAGAACCGCGACATACTATTATCAGACTTGCTCCACAGCGACGAGCATCCCGATGTCCTTGAGGATGCGCGCATACAGGAGTCTCTACTTTTGTCTTACTATATGAGTCAGGATTGGCGTCATTATCATATGACCCTGGCAATCTTGAGTGAAATATCCAACGAAGGGCCTGCTTTGTTCAACATCCATTTTAGGAAACATCTTGCAGCTGGCGAGTGGACTCTGGCCTCCAAGCTGGTTGATGAAATGGCACTGCGCAGTCAAAGCCTCACCAAAGAGAGCATTGACTTCATGGTTGAAAAGGTTCTGACGCCTCGCAGGCCCGGTGTCAGTCCGATCAAGGGTCAGCGTCGTTCCGAAGTCGTGGAAGTAACCTTCCTCTTCCGAGTCTTACGACGCATCGTTCCCGTGGGTGCTTCTGTGTCTCCTGACCTTTGGGTCGAGATGATCAAGCGATTTGGCATGATGAATTGTTGGGATGAGCTTCGAACATGTTGTCTCTGGCTGGCCCGTCATTACTCTTCTAAACCCAAACAAGACCACGCTCCTCTCCAGATTATCTCGCTATCGGCTGTACAGCAATCATCTCATAGTATCTCACCTGACCAGCACGGCAATACCATTCTCGGGGCCATCTTCAGCAAACAGACGCAAGCCGCTCTCGTCTACTGGGGTTTCCGGATGCGAGTTTCCTCCAAACGAGACGACTATAATCCTTTCCACGCGGAGAGTGGAAACTTGGTTCCTTGGGTGCGCGGACTTGTTCTCCTTCGGGAGCTTGGACAGAACGGTGTGCAGCTTTGGACGAGATGGATCAGACGAGCCTGCCGGCACCGACTTGCTGTTCTATACGGACGACCTCGCCGCTCCAGTCGTCACATGAGTCGCATGTTGCGACGGGAAAACCCATATAGTGTGGAGCGAGTCTTGGAAGATATTGACCGTGCGTGGGGACAGCCCCTCCTGCTCCAGGGTTGTGCACCCAGGGACGTGTATCGGCTGGTGAACCCACCCAGCTCGAAGATGTCTCAACGTCGAACACGTCGAACCTTCCTGAGGGAGAAGAGCCTGCGAGGGGCAGCCTTTGTGAGTAGCCGGTGAATATACTATATGTGTACAATTTGTATTACTACATAGCATCACTATAAAATAAATAAAATGTAATACTAGCCCAGCCCAAGACACACCGCTCACGTGAAGAAACCCGGGGCAACGCGGCCACACAACAAACGAGACAAACACGGGCGGGCTTCGCCACGGGCAATGGCGTGGCCCCGTCAGCATAAGTCAGCGAAATGCGAAACAGGAGCAGCCATGACCGACCCTTGTTCCTAAGAATAGGTTGGCAGGCAACGCGGCCAGACTCCATCTCCCAGAGCCTTGTTCATACTGGCCCACCGTTACTGGCAGATCAACACTGCCCTCGAAACTTTCTCATGACCCGTAAGGGTGATCCCAAGCCAAATGGCGCGGTTGTTGCCGTGGTTCAGGCTCTGGGAGACCATGTAGTGCGTCTTGGTAGTCCACACTCTCTGCACAATTCACTCATTGCTTTCACCAGTGGGGTTTATTGATTATTGCTCTGCCTGCTTGCCTGCATCATCCGCATCCTTTTACACATCCTTTATGGCCCGAATGTTGGATTCTTACTGTGTCTGATTCTTCTTCCCTTCTCGCCCCCTCTTTCCTCCTCGTTGAAACAATAATTTTCACTCATCAGGCGCATCAATTAATTAATCCCTTGAATCGAGTAGACTGATAATACCCCCCTTTTTTTCTTGATATACGCGCATTTTGTTGTATCACTTGTTGCTTGGACTTCGCAGCCAATTTTCTTCTTGCATGAGTCCTCCCGGCTTATATAGCATCTGAACGATCGATACCCTTTTCCAACCAAACAGAACGCGCAATCAGTATGCTAGGACTAGGAGTTCTAGCGCTCCTGCCCTTCGCAGCGGCGAAGGCTGTACGGCCGCGATCCACTGCATGCAACAACTCCCCAGACTTGTGTTCCAAGTCATACGGAGAAATCACTCACCTGGGCGCACACGACAGTCCGTTTCTGCGAGATGCCTCGACGGATTACTCTACCTTTGGAGACCAGTAAGTTCAATTGGGAAGGCAGAACGTCAATGCAGTTTGTTGACCAGTTCACAGATACTATAACACTACACTCCAGCTTGACGCTGGTGTGCGTCTTGTCACAGCTCAAGTTCATAAGTCGAATTCACAGTGGCGTCTATGCCACTCTAGTTGCGATTACTTAGATGCAGGATTGTTGAGCACATGGCTCTCAGATATCAAAGGCTGGTTGGACTCCAACCCCAATGATGGTACGTTGGTGACGGACGGCAATTACTCCCAAAAGAATTAAGAACTGACATCTTCCGTCAAACTACAGTTGTGACTGTTTTGCTGGTCAACTCAGATGATGCAACAGCTTCTGATCTTCACTCGCAATTCGAAACGGCCAACCTCACCAACTACACCTACACTCCGACCTCCCAAACCTCCGCACCGAGCTCATGGCCAACATTGCAGGAACTGATCAATGATGGTACCCGGTTGATGACTTTCGTGGCATCTTTGGACGCTTCCAGCAACACGGTGGCACCGTATCTGATGGATGAGTTCACTTTCATCTGGGAAAATAACTATGATGTGACCTCCGCTTCCAACTTCTCCTGTGAGCCCGATCGTCCCTCGAGCGTCAAGAACGAGCTTTCCACCGCCTTGTCTTCCAACCGCCTCCCATTCATGAACCATTTCCTCTACCAAGAGACATTGGACATTGAGTATCCCAACGTCAGCTACATTTCTACCACCAATGCGGCCTCTGGAGGAACGGGAAACCTTGGCGACACAGCAACCAAATGCAAGAAGGAGTACAATGGCCGTCAGCCTACCTTTATCCTGGTTGACTTTTTCGACAAGGGTCCCGCCATCGATACCGTGGACAGTTTGAACAATGTTACTAACGCTACTGGACGGAAGAACCTGACTTCCGTCAGCGTTACCAGCTCGGCCTCCACCTACTCCAACGTTTTTAAGGGTCTGGTCGAAGTCGTCCAGAAAGCCAAGGACGGAGCGAATCCCAGCATGGGAGAGTGGATCTGGGCTGGTGGAGATTGGGGAAGTCTGCTGGGCGGCGGTATTGCAGTCTAAGCTGACCGCTGTGACCTCATACTTCTTTGGAATCTTCACCGTCCTTTCACCCTTCATTTTGATTACTAGCCTATTTAGTACATTGTCATTTTGCATCTATTCCACATATTTACAGTTGCAACATCAGCGCTGGATTTCAAAGTTTTGGACGAGCCTCACGACATTCATTTGCTATAAATAGGGGGGGTACCAGGTTGGCGTTCGGATGATTATCATATTTTGCACAGTGTACCTAACTGATATGACCGTTTCACCATGTCCATAAGCAGCGATAGCATGTAAAGAAAGGTGCAACTGCCGGAGCATATCCACTTGATTGAGTATCACGCACATATCCCCTCAGTCGTTTTTCAACAACTCACGGACCTTGTTCACTTTATCCTCAAAGGACTGTTCCTTATCGGTCCTGTAAGCAAGACGAGTTAATCATGTTAGCCTGTGTAACCCACACCCCACCCAAGCAAGTAGTAAATAGATAAGAACAGTCCCCACAACATCCAACCCAGAAAAGGAGCAAACAAACAAGAAAAACCAAAAGAACGAATGAATGAATGAATACACACCTCGACCCAACACGAATATCCGTCTGAATCCTCACGATACCCTGCTGATGAAGAATGGTATGCGCCTGACCAATAACCTGATGAACTCTATCCCAAGGACCCTCTATGATAGTAAGTAGAACCCGTCAGTCAGCAAGCAGCCAATAAAGCATAAGCATACCCATGCGCACGCGCACGCGCACACATCAATATAATAGTATAACCACTACTAGTACAAAAGTATGCTAATATAGTACTATCGGAGGATAAATTTTTCCAATAGCTGTATACTACATACCAAGTGTGGTGCCAGCTGAATGCATGACGTATTTCAGGCCGGATTTCTCAATAAGGCGCTGAACATCGGCTATTTGGGCGGACACGGAAGGAGATGAGGTGCCGATCTATTATCGTTAGTATAGTGTAGTGTAGGTTCTTAGCGAAGTTTACTAAAGTTGGAGAATGCATATGGGGGTTATGGGGTTAGAGGTTTGGTTCGTGGGGTGATGATAATCCTGGTGTATGTATGTATGCATGTGGGATGATAGATTGATTGATTGATGCTGGACGGACATGATGGGAATGAATGAATGTGTCACGTCACTTTCATCCCTGAACCAGGTATTGATTGCATGGGTAAGATGCGGGAATAGTCAAGCAGCATGATGCAAATAACTAGTAGCTGCAAGGAATGGAAGGAATAACTCACTGGGATCAAACAGAAATCGGCGGTGCAGTGCGGGGGAGTCGGGATGGATGAGGATGTGTCGGCCATATTTGTTGTGCAGAACCAGATTTGGAGTTAGATAGTAAGTAGTAACCTAAATGAATATTCAATTCAAATAGAATTGGGGGATCTGAGAAATGATTTCTACTGGAGGATGGGAATGGATTGACAAGTGGAAGCAGCCAGCCACTTTTTTGGCGGGCAGTGAGGAGAGGAGCAGTTCATCAGCAAGCGCGGGGCCTTAACGGCGGACGGAGGGGCAATCGTGACTTGCAATCAGTCTGATCATCAACAACACCACACTATCAGGAGATGCGCATTGGCTAAGTACTACTGGCTTATAATCATCGGAATTGTTCGCTACTCGCTTCTCTATGGTGGAATATAATCCCACCCGCTCTCTTGAGGAAAAACTGGCAGGCAACTCCACCGGCGAAGATCTGTACGTTTCCGCGGACAACACATCACCAGAACCAAGATGGAAGACGTATCTTGAGTACAATGCGTTGCTGTGGATGACGATCGGTTTGTGAGGTCTCATATCTGAAGCCAACTTTACCCTGGCGAAACCCGACCGGGAGGAATTAGTGCTCCTTCGATGCATGTTTGCTTTTTTTTTTCTCTTCCTTCTTCCCCGGATTCCAGCTCCTCCAGCAGCATCATGACCGGTTTGTACTAATTTTGGGCCGACGGCCGAGGATGTTCCTAAGACTCACTATCAACTAGACTAGACTACTGCTGTGGGTGTGGGAAGATGGATCTGGATCTAACGATCCTGGGGCAGATGCTAGTAGTTTTACTAGCGAATCGTTTGTCCGATTTTCCATTTGGTGACCCTCTTTTCATTCCTTGCTCTTATTTCTGGATTCTCAAAAAACAAGTCAATAATTGTCCCACCCGGTTCCTATGAGAGGGGAACACAACTGACAAGAGGACATATGGCCAACAATGGCCTGCAGAGAAGACAAAGGAGGTGCTCGAGGCTCTGGCAGGATAAGACGGGAAGGAAGAACGCCTTCAAATCGTCAAATCGCACTGGGCCCTTACTTGGGTCGTCTGTCATCTGCAATTGTTTCGGTCCGCCCCTCTGGTACCAAATTCGCAGTCACCAACCTAGATTTATCGACTTCTCTCGCCTCGTGGCTCATCTCCTATCCTCACTGGTTTCGCTCACCCTCCTTGATCAATTTCATTTTCAGCTGAGATCACTTTCTTCTCTTTCAGTTGGCGGACTCTCCTTCTGAACAGCCCATCCGACCGGGTGTGACGCAGCCCTGCTGGTCCGACCGTTTTGTCTTCCAGTGCGCTTCGTTAGTTTGTCCCGATAGTTCACTAGCGACTACGGCAGTATCGCTCGCATGATTTAGCATATTCCGTGACGTTCAATCAACTCTATCTACCTTGTACTCCTCACCCTCGACCTCCAACCAGCGTCTGCTCAGCTGTCCACGTTTCTGACCGCCTCTTTACGTCGCGGTGCAGCGTCCAGGACCCGGGCTCTGTCGACGTTTGCGTGCCCGACGCCTTGCGTTTAAGCGCTCACCCAGATTTCGCTTCGGACGGTAACCACTACTCGTTACTTTTCCCATTTACGAAGTCTTTCTTATCTTGTCACAGTATTGGCTCGCTGCTCGTGTCGCTTGAAGCGTCAGATGCGCGGTGTGGTAACAATACTGAGACCTTTCGAGATAAATCTGCGCGCCGTGATATGATTGGCATGGGATCCGCCTAAGGCTCGCACGGCCAAGCGCCACGGGGCTGCGACGACCTAATCCCTGCACAAGGCTCGTCCTTCCCAGATCTAGCGACTGTTGCCACTAGACGCAATCGGGGTTGGGGGATTTCCCTCCAGAATCCCTGAGCTCATCACTTGCCGTGCGGGTGATTGAGTAGGCCTTAATTTCTGAGATCGATCACCTGAGAATAGTGGGCACAGTCCGTTCGATTTCATCGAGCAGCTTATCCTCCCATCCGCTGAGAGCCAATTGGCCGATTGTAGCGAGGCTCCGTACTTGCAAAAAGCGTGAAGACTGGTCTGAAAGAGAGACAGCTGAAGAGACAAGATTCGCCCGACTGTTGAACTAGTATTTTAGATCAGCTACTCCCCTCTCTCCACGTTCAGGCTCGCGCTGCGCTGGACGCTTATCCATCCCCCTGGAAGGCCCAGTGTCCATTTTAAGTGAATTGCATCTGCGTACATGAAGAGGCTGCATGTTCCCTTTTCCACTGCACACTGAATTCTTGCCTGCTGCGCCTCGGACTTTTTCCTTGCGGGACTAAATCAAGCCCACGTGACTCTATACATCACGTTGCGCGCATACCACGGAGCTAGAACGTTTGCTGCTACTATATTAACCAGGGCTGTAGGCATTCTTGCGGACATCTGCTTGCGGCATTTGTCATGGTTTTTTCCTCAGTCGACTACCATCGTCATTGTTCATCTTCCACTTACCTGACCAATGACAAAGCCCAATCTACTAGAGCTCCCAGTAGGAGCTCGGCTCGCTTACCTCGCGGAAGGCGGCGCCAATGTCATCTATCGAATCCTCGCTCCAGCAGAGATGGACTTTGATGGAAGAAATGACCTCCCTGCGACAGTTTCCAACTCACTACCTAGCACAATGGGTACATTCCAAGTGCCTGCCAAGTTTAAGGGTAAATTGCTTCGACTCCGCAAGGATACGAGTGCAGGCATCTCTTATCAGGAGATTGCACGCAATTTTGACAGATGCATTCGTCCTCTTTTCAAACCAGAAGAGCTCGTTGATCAGGAGCTCGTTCATCTCCCCAGAGGGCTTGTTCAAGGGTGCAATGAACAGCTACAGGTAGCAGAGCGAAGCGGCCAGCGTCCAAAACGACGCCAAGGGGTGTACCTCTCTACGGTGGAGCCGTTTGGGCTACTCATAACAGACATGACTACATTCAGCATTCCCGGAACGACTCTCTCAGAGTTGAAACCTAAATGGCTAATTCAATCCCCCTCTGCACCCCCGAACTCCCGGAGATGTCGAACCTGCGCACTCCGCGATATGAAGAATCAAAAAGCACGCAAGAAGGGATTGGCGGAAGAACAATCATTTTGCCCCCTCGACCTGGTATCTGACAGATTCGACAATGTCCTCCGTGCGGCCCAATTTGTCAAGGGATGCAAAGACCAGGCACGGCTGGCAAAGGTACTTTATCGAAATGGAACGCTGCAGAGGCTCCTGACACATCAGAAAGCCTTACAGGATGTGGGGCTTTACGGTCCACCGCCAAGTTCGCGCGAAAAGTCGCTTGCGATGACGCTGCGAGACTGTACCATGTTCATAAGGGTAGGTACATCCATCGCTTTTACCGGCGCGCCACGTGTCCGCTAACATCAGCATAGATGCCACGCGACGATTCCGGTCGTGTGGAGATCAGGCTGGGGGATTTGGACCTCAAAACCGGGGCTGGCGGGAAAGCCAAGTACTGGCTGGACCTGGAGCACCAATTGATCGTGGAGGACTGGTACGCAGGGGCCAAGAACAACGTATCGGAGAGCGAGTGCGCTCAGCAGAGTCCACGGGCGCATTCACAGTCTTCGATATAGGGGTCCGTAATAACTTGTCTTGAACTATTTCCTGCATCTTACAGCTACAATCTGCAATAGCAGCTGCGATAATTAGGGGTTCACAGTACCCTATCGAGGTATGCACCAGGCGACCCATTATGGAATGTCGCACGGTAATGATTGACGGCCTTTCTCTTTTCTTCGTTTCTCGTGCATCGTGGTTTTCGATATCATGTTTCTACTCACTTTTTAATGTTCGGTTGGCATATTTGCTTCATTATTATGTTGCTCGCATTTTATCGGGGCAGGGAGGGTCAGTGATACGTCTTGCTACAAATTCGATGCATCTCTTCTCCAATTTCGGTCATGGTTCTTGCTTGATGTGTACACTAGTTACTTAGGGATTCACCTCTTACTCTATGGCTTTATTGATTAATGTATACGCTTCCGCAGTACTTGATATCCCCTCATAGCAGTATCTGTGTCTTAAGTATAATTATTCCAATGTAGTCTCGTTCTACTACCAACACAGTGGCTAACTATCCCACCAAGTAAATGACGTCACCCAAAGCCAGCATCGGGAAATCCGACCGAATACCCCGAACGGAGGCCCAATTCACCGACCGACCTCGAAGCCCAGAGAAGGATAAGGACAAGACTACCCTACTTAACTCAATGCAATAAATCATAGTAATAGAACCCCACAATTGACATCAGTCTTTCTCCAGCGCGGAGGAATCTTTTGCCCTTACAAATCAGCCACAGTCCAAGTAATTACCTATCCAAGTAACTTACGAAGTAGTTGGGTTGGTAGAGTAATCATTGATGTGTCCATTAATAAGCGTTTTCATCCGTAATTCCGCGCCGCCCTCGCCTCTTACTTCCGCGGGTGCTTTTAACGGCTTGGGGGGGGAGGCGGAGGAAGAGGAAGAGAAAGGTGTTGTTGTTGATCATGCGGTTACATCTCCTGGGATTAATCGGAATCTGTCTAGCGGGACTTGCATTATTGGTTTTTACCGAGAATATTATTACTAGTAATCTCTTTGCTGCGACGACACATACAAATATCATGGCTGTCCCGAGGGTTCTTGCTCGTCGGGTTTTCCGTTCTTCGTCTTCTTCATCTTCTGCGTTGTTTGGATTCCGGGGCAATTCTCTTGCTGCTGTTAATACGCCTTCGCCTTTGGTGACTACTGCTGCTGCTACTTCTGCTATTAGACCTTTCTCGTCTACTGGGTCAGTGAAGATGCCTTCTCAAATGCCTAGCTCCGGTGCGCTCGTGGATTTGGCCAAGGGTCGCCATTCCATTTACAAGCTCGGGAAGAATAGCCCCGTGCCGGACGAGAAGATTGAGGAGCTTGTCAATCAGGCTATTTTGAATGTCCCTAGTGCTTTCAATACGCAGTCGACCAGGTTGGTTGTTCTGCTGCATAAGGAGCATGAGCGCCTTTGGGATATCACGATGGATTTGTTCCAGGCCCGTGTGAAGGAGGGGACGCTGCCTGAGGAGATGTGGAAGAATCAGACGCAGCCGAAGCTGCAGGGTTTTAAGAATGGATTGGGAACTGTAAGTGGCTTTTCAATTGATTGGGTCTATGTCGGGATATTGTGTTAATTGCGTGGTTAGATCCTCTTCTATGAAGACCCCGCGCACATCGAGCCCTTCAAGGAGAAGTTCCCTACCTACAAGGACCAGTTTGAGCCTTGGGCCCACCATACTAATGCTATGCATCAGTACTTCTGTATGTCTTTGATCCTGCTTGATTTTGACTTGGGATCGTAATGCTAATGAATGCAGTGTGGATCGGTCTTGAATCTCTTGGCTTCGGTGCCAACTTGCAGCATTATAACCCGCTTATCGATGCTCCTGTGGCCAAGCAGTGGGACATTCCTACTGACTGGCGGCTTATCTCTCAGTTGGTGTTTGGTAGCCCCGAAGTAGAGGGTCAGGAGAAGCCGAAGAAGCCCGTTGAGGAGCGGGTGAAGGTTTATGGCAAGCTGTAATTGTGCTAGCTGGCGGTGGCTTGGTTGTTTTGCTCTGCGTCTGTTAGACTAGATGGTTTGTGAGTTAGCGCAACATCAATCCAGGATTGAGGATCAATACAGTATAAAAATTCCTAAAAGTCTATATGAGATTCAAAAGTCATCTTCAAAGATATAAGGCCATGCTAAGGATTGAAAGGAATGGGAGTCAACATATCAAAACTGACCTGGCTAGTATGTTCTTCTGATTTATTGTACCCGAATGATTATCACCCTATCCTCTAATGAACAGACCAACTAATGTCGAAAATGCAGCATACTCATATGGCTATTTTACATACCCAGAAACACACACCAATCGAGGAAAGAAGATACCACTCCTTCCCATCTCAGATACCCTCCTGAGCCTTCCTCCAGCAACCACAACCTCTATTCCTTCCCAATACTATACATTCAGCAAGCCAAACCACCCAACATGGTATCCCTAATAGCAAACCATCCTTGAATTGACCATATCCTCCCAATCCTACCTCTCTTCTACACTCTCCATCCCACCTATCCATAACCAACCCCATTCCTTCATCTATCCTTATCCTATTCATACACATACACCATGACCAACCTCCTAACAACCACCCTCACCCTCATCTTCACCATCCTCACCCTCCTCCCTCACAGCAGCTCCAGCCACCCCATCAACGAAACCGCCCATCACTCCTCCGCCGTCCCCTACGGCCTGTTAATCACGCACTGCACCGTCCCCAACACCATCGCCCTAACCTTCGACGACGGTCCCTCAACCTACACTCCCCAGCTCCTCGACCTTCTCAGCGAATACGGCGCACGCTCAACCTTCTTCGTAAACGGCTACCGACTTCAGGAGAGTGCTCCCATCTTACAACGCATCTATAACGAAGGGCACCAGATAGCCTCTCACACGTAAGCCAACTCCTCCCCAGTCTTCATCCTCCAACACCATCCCCAATCAAACACCATGATTTATATACAAGGACTACTTAGGTTCGGCCACTCCTTCCTCCCCGCCCTCGACAACCCCACTATAATCAACGAAATGAACACCCTCGAGTCCCTCTTCCGGACCTTCATCGGTCGAGTCCCGACGTATATGCGCCCGCCCTTCCTCGCCGTCGACGGACGGATCCTCGCATTGATGACGGACCTCGGATACCATGTCATCGGGGCGAGTGTGGATACAAAGGACTATGAGAATAATACGCCGTGGTTGATTGGGGAGAGTGTGAGGAACTTTGTGGAGGGTGTGCAGGCGGGCGGGACGGTGGTGTTGGCGCATGATACGCATGCTCAGACGGTTTGGACTTTGACGAGGGTTATGTTGGAGGAGAGTAGGAGGAGGGGGTTGGTTGGTAGGTTTTTCCTTTCCTTGGCTTTTACGTTAGTTGGGATGTGCTGTGAGTGAGTGAAAAGTGGTGCTGATGGTTGGTTGGTTTAGCTACGACTGTGGCGGACTGCTTGGGGGAGCCTATGGATTTTTGGTATCGTTAGATGTGTTGGCTGGGAGAGTGTTGTGGTGCAGTGAGTGTAGAATGTTATATAATTTGCATGCGAGTCACGCTTCAAAAGGCAATGTTCATCTGCGCCTCTTCAATTTGTTGAAGTCCGTAAGCCGTTTGGTATTAGATATCGCAGTAAATATATATATCCTGTAGTATAACCGTCCTCCGAAAACGCCCCAACCATTTATCTATACCATTATGCTTGAAATAAATATTCCCACAACTCCAAACCCAACACCCCCAATGCAATGTTATACACCCTAGCACAAATTAAAAGAAATCTTTCTCATCCAACCACTGCGTATCAATCGCATACGCCACCAGATCCGCCGCACAACACATATCCTCATGCCCACTCTCCAAATCCAACAACTCCAGAACAGCCTGTAACCGATCCTCCAGCGTCTTCTTCAACTGAGAGATATATTCCTGCGTCGCAGCCGTTACTCTCGGCCTGTACTCTAGCTGCTGCTGGTGCTTTATCTTCTCTAGCGGAGACCTCACTACCTGCTTCTTCAGACCTTTATTAGGCGAGCAGGGCGCAAGAGGCTGTCGAGCAGGTGTAGTTGGTGCCGTGGGTACCGGCTCGCTCTTTCTATTCTTGAGTAGGGACTTGAGCAGGAATACGAGCCAGACGAGGTTGGTTCGTGGGGCGTATTCGGCCCAGATGCCTGGGATGTCGGGGGATTTTTCGGTCTTGAGGGGTTCGCCGTGGTAGACTTCGGCGCGCATGCTGTGGGTTGTTGTTAGTTAGGCCGGATAAGTTTATTGGGGATGTTTGTAGTCTGGTGATAAGGGTACGTACTATCTGTAGGTATTCCGTAGCATGATCTCGTCTTCGTCGCGGCCGATGGCGTCGAAGATTTGTTTCTTGTCTAGATCTGAGGAGGCGACTTCAACGTGCTCTGCTTCTTCGCTCATGCGTAACGCAGCGCGGGAGAGGGAGTAGTCGATGATGGTGGTTTCGAGGGTGCTGAGGCCGAAGCCACTTGTGAATGACTGGCTGATGATTTCGTGGTCGGTCGGTGGATCCATGCGGCCTTCGGGGCGTATGCTTCGTATGCAGACGTTACCGAGGTGGAGGTCTCGGTGCTGTGGTTATGTTAGAGATGGTGATCTGGAATTCTCGGGGCTGGGTGCCAACCTCGAACAATGCGTATTCCTCCGCCCGTGCAAGAGCCATTGCGACTCCCCAGAAGATGTCGTAGATCTGGAAAATTGATGACCAGGAGAACTTTTCCAGCTCGCAGCCAGCATCGTCCATCTCAATGATAGCCCATAGTTGTGAGTCGGGGTAGGCCCGCTTGCTGGACGGGTTTGGGTTCAGACAGTCGTCCTTGGTCTTCTTGTAATAGTCCCACGCCGTTTGGAAGTTTTCTGGAAAGCGACCCTGAACGACGTGGATCTCCCGAAAGCGAGCGAACCCGGGGATGGGATCGAGATACTTGAGCATCTTCACTTCGGAGACAATTTCCTCGATGCTAGTGAACTTCTTCGAACCAGGGCCGCTCTGCGCGCGCAGAGGTACCACCTTGAACACTCCATCACCGTAGGCTTTTAAGCGCGCAAGTTTGGACTTGGACATTTCTTTTTTGCACAGATCTTCCCGCAGACGTAGCTTATAGACTTCTCCGTAGGAACCTTCTGCGATCTTCACCACTTCCAACAAGTTGCCTGCCCGGGCGGCCCATGATCCAAATTTTTGTACACTCTGCGCGGCGACCGGGGATAAGGCTTCGTTCAGAATTGGTCGAACGTAGGCATTTGCCTTCTCGTCTGTGACGCAGCCGGATGATAGTCGCGGTGCTGGTTTGTCCTTTCTTGCAGATCGCCGCCCGCTCTCTGTTGTTCCTTCGGTAGCTTGCTTGCGCCTTCGAGGTCTCTCAACTGACACCGTCGGACTAATCCTCACTTCGACCATTGTCTCATACTTTGTGCTTTCTTTACTGTTGCGGTTTGGTGATAACTGTTCGGATGGAGATGGTTCGTCTTGCGGTTCGGATACAGGGGTGGGTGTCGCTTCCGGCATTGGTGTTTCTTGTTCAGTCTCATTAGGTAGAATGGCCTTATCGTCATATTTCTCGACCTCCACTTCCTTCTCTTGAAGCTCTTCGGGTTTTGTCTCTTGAGGCACAGGCTCGTCTATCGTAACCTCAGCCAGCTTCTCTCTCAGGCCCTCCACAGCACCCCGAACGGCTTTTTTCACTTCCTTTTCCAAATCCTTGGCTGGACTTCGCTGCTCAAACACTGCTCTGGGCGCATCCGCTCTTCGTTTCCCGTACACCTTTCTCTGTGCGCTTGTGCGTGTTCTGGTGGCTGGTCTCGAATTCCATTGTCCAGGGGTTGTGTTGTCGGCCGCGACAACAGGTGAGGATGGGGATAGCATGGTGATGTGGTAGTGTGAGGGTCGAGTAATCCTGATAGAGTTGGTCCTAGTGGCTCAATGAGCCTAGCGCCCGCGTGTATTCAAGAATGTGCCCAAGATTGAGGAGAGCAGTAGCTGCGGCGAGATTCGGTGGAAGCCACTGATGCTTACTGGGGCTATTGATACCTTTCCTAATCCGGGATAGTTGCTTGGTTGCTGGGGTAGGCGCTGCTTATGTAAGTGGGGCGTCATTGCCATTTCGAATCATTCATACTTTGTAGGAAAGGGAGCTTAAGAAGAGGGTCAGTCCGATTCTAACAGCAGTGCTCATAGTTATCTATTGACATCCTTTAAGGGGGCATCATTGTATTTGCTCATGGCATAAGCTCAATCTTGCCATGGCGTTTCTCTAGTCCACATTCAAAAGACGATAATGTATTCTAGAAATATACTTCAAGATCAAATTCTAATGGTACCGAGCTCGCACTTGGTAATGCAAAGCCCGAGGGAGATGTAGCTAGGAAGACGAGGCTCTAGCACGAATATTCCCGACCAGAGGGACAACAATGAACCTGACTTGTGATTAGTATTGAAGGGGTCTGAGTGGTGATAGTAAGGTTCCGAGCTGGAATGGCCGGGATGAAAGGAAAGGAAAGGCCTCGGCAAGCTCGTGTATCGGAGGCTTTCCGTGGATTGACCTGCCAGAGACTTTTGGGCAAGTCACCTGCCAGATTGGGAATATCTAGCGCAATGTTTGGCTCCCAAAGAGGTAGCAGACTACCGATCACATCCCTGGTGGACTATGGGACGTTAGTGACATGCATACATCTAGTTTTTGAGACGCGTTAATTAGACAGGAGTCATAGGAGGAGAGAGACATGGACGACTTCGGAGATGTACCCCGTACTCCGTAAATAGAGTATGGAGGTGGAAAAGGGAAATGGGACGGGTGGATCGGCACAGGATTCCACTGCTTCTGGCCCGTCAAGTCCAGCACGGGCCTGACAGTGAAATTGCGAGGATGGGCGGGTTGGACGGGAAGAATGATACAAAGGAGTGTTTGAGATGGGGGATTACTGTAGTCTACTACTAGATAGAAGGATGAATGGATGTATGTCGACGGATAAGCAGATGGATGACATGAGACCCATATTCCTGCCTGGGGAGCATGACGATCGGTGCCCTCATGACGCGCGATGACCAGTTAATTTTGATGGCCGGTTTACAGTCGGAGGAGATCGGAAGTAAGCAAACTACACACAGTCTTAAATTAAGGAGGGCTTTGCTGTGCTGCTCTTTTTGCTATTGTAAATTTCCCGGTGCAGCGGGTTACTAGTGTATTACCGCTATGACCTACTGTTGTGCGGTGACGTTATTCCTGCCGCTGGAGAAAAATTTCTAACCCCTACCCTAACAAAAATACATCCCAGTAGGTTTGTAGTTTGGCTGATAGCTGTAGACAAGCTAGTAGTACGATACACAAGTAATAGACAGCATCTGGATAAATATTTGTCTTTCAAAATAGTAGAATATCCACGATGAAAGAACCCGACTGAGCCGCCGCGTAGATCACGCGAGCGCAACACCACTTAACCAAGTACTGTAATCACCAAAACCGTAAAACTGACTGGCCGGACGCTCGGGATTCCTCGCCTTCTTTTTTCTTTCCATCCGTCGCCCTTTTCATCTTTTCCCTTCATTCCGGCTTATCGGCGCATCAACCCTTCCTCGCCCCTCTCCCTTCCTTCTCTCTCTCACACACACTCACACACCTTCTACCTTCGACGGCGATACCTCCGCACTTCCGCCTAATCCTCAAATACGTCTCGATATCCCTTTGCGTCCTGTTGTCGATTATCCTACATTTTCCCCATGTCGCCGCCTCCGCTGAAATAAAACCCACCCATCACTGAATGACCCGCGATGGCGTTCAACTTCAACTGGTCGCCGTTAATGGCGGACGCGAGCTTCTACACTCGCGCTCAGGAGCTGCTCACTGCCGCCTTGAATAAATCGCCAAAACCGCCGATTATCGTGGACGACATCCATGTCACCGAACTCAATCTCGGTTCTATCCCGCCCGAGTTGGAGATCTTGGAAATCGGAGACCTGGCCGAGGATCGCTTTCGAGGCATCTTCAAGATGTCCTATACGGGCGACGCCTTTCTGACCCTGAAAACCCGCGTCCAAGCAAATCCGCTCAATACCTATCTTCTCACTCGACCGTCCTTTGCGACTCCCTTACCGGTCGCTGCAGCGTATGTGTTGTTGGATTACCCTAATACGCAGCCAAGCGCATCCTTGCTGACCTGATCGCCTCGAACTGCAGGACTCCTTTGACTATTCCCCTTCAAATCACCCTTTCCGACTTCAAACTTTCCGGCTTCGTTATATTAGTCTTCTCGAAGCAAAAAGGCATCACAGTTGTCTTCCGAAATGACCCCCTTGAGTCACTCAAGGTATCGTCGACATTCGACTCGATCCCCTTCGTGCGCGACTTTCTACAGCGAGAAATAGAAGGCCAGCTTCGCGTTTTGTTTATGGATGAGTTGCCCGCCATCATTCATCGCCTATCTCTCCGATTATGGGTTCCAGAATACAGGGCTGGAGAGGAAATGGCTAATCGCACTACCAACACCGCGGGTGAAGGACCTGGCCAGGATCCTTTGGCGAGTCCTCCGCAGGATCCCGTGGATGCTCAGGGCAACGCTTTGGATGAATCAGAGATCGCTTCGCTTTCGTTGGATTCCTCGGTCGAGACGCACTCCTTGTTTTCACAGAAGAACTTGCTCCGTTTGGCCGCACTTACGGACTCCCAGCGAACGCTATCGCTGTTCACTCCGTCTATCCAAGAAGTGGTTTACCGCGCATGGACGTCGCCTTCTGACGCGGGCGAAGTTTCGGGTGGCATAATGTCTCCCTTGAGCCCTGCACTTTCCCGGACTCAATCCCAGGTTGGCGGGATGTCCTCCTTCCAGGATACAGCCAGCATGGTATCCTCCCAGACCCGGTCTTCGACGAATACCCACACTTTCAGCAGCTACGGTCTGAGCTTGGGAGCTGGCCGCCACTCGAAATCCAATGCTCGCAGGCGGAAGAAGCGTGTGGTGGACCTGCGTCGTCCCAAGGCTACTGAGGATGCCGCAAGTGTGAGCGGCGATAGCACCTACACCGAGACCACCAGTGCACCGTCTGTCTGCTCGGCACCTTTGCCGGTGGTCAGCGAACAGACCGATGACCCAGTGACTCCTCCGCTGTCTCCGAACAGTGAACTACACCTTCCCACGGTTCCCGAACGACACCGCTTGAGTATCTCCAGGCAGATGCCCCGCCGCGATATCGCGACTGAAATGTTGCGTGAGACCGGAGAATCGTCGGCTCAGCCGGCCAACCACTCGGCGGTTGATGTTGACGCTACTCCGCGGGTGGCTGTACACCCCTATATTCCTGCTCAACATGAGAACGAGAAGGGAGAAGCAAGCGCCTCGCGCCAGCTCCCTTCCAAGGCACTCCCATTCTCCGATACCAAGCCGACATCCAGCATCGTTGACCAAGCGTTGGTTGAACGACTGGCTGGAGAAATCGCTCGTCGCATGCGGGAGGAGAAATTGACTCCCGGCAATTCATGCAGTTCGTTCTGGGATCGTCTCAGCCATGATGATGCCCCGCCGGCGTACGGTCAGTGACTAGTACAGCCTTGTGGGCGTCTTTGTACTCTTTTATCTTCACCTATTCTTTTCTCCACGGCTAGGATGCTCATACCCGTGCAATCCTCCCAGCTCCAGCAAGTCTGGAGCATTTCATGACCGATACGACACTGCATTTAATCTCGACTGTGCTTTACTGTGTTTTAATTGTTTCCAAGCGGGCTTTAGAACTTTGTACATTGATTGGACTGTACTCATAAAAGAATCTGGCGTGTTTTTTCTTTTTTTTATCTTTAACCTGCGTGAGCGATCTGTTTCTGAGGGATACCACTTCGCTCGCTGACTCTCTTTGACTGTGATTTTCTACTCTACTCTCCTTTGTCCACTCTTTCTCTTTACTGATATTTTTCTGTTTGATTTGGGATTTGGAAGCTGGAAGCACGCAACCGATGGAGGAGTCAAAAGAATGACTGGCAAATCTGGGTTTAGTTTTGCCTTGCTGAATTGCCGTAGAGTTTCGAGCAATGCTACTGTATATTTTTCTGATTCAATTGCGATAGCACCTATTTTCTCCCTGAGACAAATCACGATCGTAATAAGGAATAGTCATAATCCTCCGAAATCCCCACGATCTAAGCGTTCTCCTTATCTTTTGGGGGTTTGACGCCAGAGCGGTCGGCTCCACCGTGGCTCCGATCGGTTTGCGACGAACGTCAACCATTTAACTCAACCTGACGCCCGTTCGCTTCCCTCTTCTTCCCTTCCTTCCTCCGCCACGTCGCCAGTTTCCCTGCCCGTCCGTACCCTAGTCCGTCCAATTCCCCATTCCTCATCATGGCGGGCCTGTTCAAGAACGTCTTTGGCGGTTCCCAGCCCTCGAACCCAGCCAAGGTTGACGATGGTGAGTCTCACAACACGCACACCCCAAACCCCAGCTTTTGCCTCGAGCTCTGTACCCCAGGAAAATCATCCCTTCCCCAAACTTTCTTCAATTGCTCTCCCAGTTCTAGCTCAACGCAACAAACAATTTCTTAATACTTTTTCCAATGCAGACTTCGCCGACTTCGTCGAAGCCCCGGAGCCCTCCCCGGCCTCCCTCGTCGCCGGGTCCTCATCCATCCCGGCCGTGAACACCCAAGGCGTCACCCCAGTCCCCTACACCAAATGGTACCGGGTATGGGAGCGGACCTCGCCGCGGGACTTCATGCAAGAAGCGACCGTGATGCCCATCATCCTCCTAATCATCCTCTTCCACTTCTGGGGTACGCGCAAGAACCGCCGCAAGGCGCGCGACTGGGCGCAAGCTCACACCTCCGCTCTGCAAAGCGAGTTCGCCGTTGTGGGTTTCGACGGCCCTAGCAGCAGCAACAGTGAAGGACAACCCGCACCCGAGTCTCTCCTCAAGGAACGCTCTGCTCAAGAATTCGCCTCCTACGCGACCGGTCGTCAGAACGTGGCTTTCGTGGACGTGGCCATTAAGCTCCCCAAGCGGTACAACCCCGTTACTTTCTGGACGGAGACTGTCCTGGGCTTCTTGTTTGAGAGCTGGTCCCCCCCGACGGAAACCTACGAGGCTACTGCGTACACCTTCGACGGAAAGGAGAAGGACGTTGTCCCGCTCCCGGCCAATGATCGCTCTTCCCTGAAGGTCAACAACTCGACCTACGATGGATTCATCTGGGCTGTTGTGCACAAGAACTACATGCGGAAGTTCCGTCAGGACCGCTACGACGCCAGCATCACTTTCACCAGGGATAACAACAAGCTGCCTAACTGGGTTACCGTCATGACGGAGAGTGCGGAGATCACGGATGCTTTGCTCACGAATGAGCTGGCCCAGGCTATTGAGAAGGCTGGCAATGATTTCAAGTACTTGATTGTTACTGATCAGCCCGTCGATAAGCCCATGAAGTGAGATTCCCACCCCCGCTTTCCCCCAAAAACAATACCACCCATCCCCCAAACCGAGCACACGTGCTAATCAACACCCACCTATGCAGAATCGAGGAAACCACCCCCCGCAAGCGCATCGAACTGTCCGTCACTCTCCCCAGCAGCGCCGAAGGCTACAGCACCACCCTGCCCCTCTTCACGCAGTTCCTCCGCTTCGCCGACCGTCTCGTCGGCTCCGCCCACTTCCGCCCCGAAGTGATGCGCAAGGTGCGCAGCACTCGCGACGAGGAGATCAAGAAGCTGCGTCGTGCGGATGAGGAGGAGAAGGCCGAGGAGCGCCGACTCGCCGCCGAGAAGGTCAAGAAGGAGGACAGGGAACGTCTCCTTCGTGGTATGTCTGCGGATGAGCAGAAGAAGTACCTGGAGCGTGAGCAGCAGAAGGAGCACCGTCGGATGATGAAGAAGAGTACGCGTAGGGGGTGATTTCTTGTTCTGTTCCGTTCTGTTCTTTCCTTTCATTGAACGAACTGTGGATTAGGGGAATGTGGACATCGGCTTGTCGAAGTCCCTGCTCAAGTTATGGTTTGGTGGTGAGGCTGTTCGTTCGTTGTATATCTTCATGTACAATGTATTCGTAATTCTTTTTCTTATTTGGATGATGAAATGGGATGATGGGGCTGGATTGGATTGGGGAGATGCCGTGGGATCAGTCGGTTCTTGACTGACTCCAGTGGTTTAATTGATCTACTAATGTAACTTGATGGCATGAAGGCCTTTTGGTTCTGAGTATTAGGAATTCTTCCGTATCAGCGATCTAGTGGTTGCCCTTCCAGTCTATAATGCTCCCAGCCTCGTAGCTATATACCTATGATTGATTGGGCAAGCGACATGTAGATCGAAATACTGCTGCCAAGCAGCTCAGTTTGAAAATACCCTATCAAGACATCTATCTACCCACGGCGGCCGTAGAGTATGAAGCCCGATCTATAACAACAACACCAGACACCAATGAAATCTCATCAATATATACCCGAAATCAAGCCTCAGCAACCAAAAAGCTCATCAAGCTTCCCGCAGTCAACCCGCCTACGAGCATCAATGCCATGAACCCACCTGCAGGTTCACGTTCATCAGGAGACACCCACTGTCCAGCGCCCATCATGCAATTACTCCCTAAGTACCCGTTACTTATGCCGAACAGCAACTGCACGACGAACAGGTAGAAGAAGTCGCTTTCCACCACTGCACCCCGGCCGCGAATGTTGCAGAGGAGGTACAGCGGGATGAAGGCAGCTCGAGCAATCGAGAAGAGGAACAGCACAAAGGGACGGTTCACTAAGGAGAGACGGGGAAAGAGGACGAGCATTCGGCCCAGCAGATCACCTGCGTTCCAGAAGAAGAATGCAAGAGGGATGAAGACAGCCTGGTCGAAGAGTCGTGATCGTCCGGGAGTGTCGTGGACGGATTCGATCTCCGCTGTGAAGACGGGGAAGGTCATGGTGACGGTGAAGCAGAGGAAGATGGCTGTGGCCATGAAGCGGAGCTTCTTGAAGAGCGTCCAGAGGCTGACGGACTTGTTCTCGGGAACATCTGAGTCGCTGTGGTCGTCTGTTGGGTCTAAGAGGGTTGAGGATGCGCGTCGCTTTACGAGGGATAGGAAGGCAAGCAGAGCGAAGGACGACACGGCTGTGGCCGTGATGAAGTAGGCGAAAGCAGATTTGGATGACTCTTGTGGTGCTTTCTGTCCTTCCTTCTTGCTTGGTACGGAGATCACGGTGAGTATTTGGACAATGCAGGGTAGGACACCCGCTACGCCTTGGCCGCCCATGATGGCTTGGGTATACTCCTCTCTTCCGAAGCCGGAGACGTAAGCGTACACGCCATTTTGATTTATTCCGGTCGCAAGACTGGCCCCGAATACCATGATCATGAGAAAGCCGAAGTATGTGCTCACTGAGACATCTTTCATCAGGATGGTGGAGAAGGCCAAGAGCGTGAATACCACGATGTTGATAAGCAGAGAGACAGTGACCCGCTTCGGATATGATGCCCCCTTCTGCAGCTTGGCCAGGATGAACGAGGAACCTAAGTTAGTAACGGTGGATACAGTCAATATTGAAGGTTGATAATGGGTTGCTGCCCAGTCGTCTGTGTGGAAACGGTGGTAAAAGTATGGTGCAGCAGCGAGGAACATGTTCCTATGACGTTCCGGTCTAGTTAGATAGATGCAGTCAATGCAGTTGCTGTAAGTTGGGACATACCATGCCCATAGCATCGACACTCCCAGGAGGAAGAATACTGCATATTCGTATCTGGAGAAACGGGGATGCTCCAGCTCCTCATGAGCAGAGTGAATGCTCTCATTGTCGGCGTCAACCGGCTGCTCGATTGCTTCATACGTAGGCCGGCGAGTGATCAGCCCGCGGATACGCTCCATTGTAGCGAGTTATTGGGTTGTCCCTGTTCAAGCGATGAGAGGGGACAGGGAGTAGTACGAGACTCAACCCATGATGGTGGAGAAGTGAGGCAGGGAAGATCGACGGGGAGGACAAGAACATGAGCAGCAGCTGGTCATGAGGCGTGACACTCGCCAAGAATGGTAATCCGCGGGTCACGTTGGCCTGGGTGACTAAGAGGCTTATCAATTCAACAACCATCAACTACTAGTAACTTCAATAGCTCAACAGCCCGAATAACATGTCAGCAATTGCACAGAGAGCATGGTTCAGAAGTAGAGATGGGTATTATATTTTATCTATCCAGTCACCAAAAGCTGAGCCACCCCGGTGTGTGGGGTATCCCGTAGATAGATAGTACATCCAGCTTGAGGCGGCCCAGCTGTCTAGACAATAGTGTACTATGTGCCCCATACAGGAGCTATATACTCTACACTGCCGAAAACAAGATAACGAAGAAAAAAAAGAAAACAACAAATGGGTGTCCAGAAAGGTAGGCGCCTCCACATCTATGAAGTAGTGGACGCTCCTACTTCTTCTGCTGATCGCGTTCGCTGCTGGCATCTTCGATGTCAGCTTCAGCTTCCTCTTTCTCCAACTGCCACAATTTCTCTTCTGTCGCTGGGCTGATAGGGGCGTTTGCCGGCGTGTTCTCGCCACCACTGATCTGCCATTCCATCAGCTTTGTGAAGGCGCCGTCAGGACGAGAGCTAAGCTCCTCGTAAGTTCCTTGTTCGGCCACCTTTCCATCAGGGGCAAGCACGATGATTGTATCAGAGCGCTTGATAGTAGACAATCTGTGGGCGATGCTGATGGTCGTGTTATTTCCACGAAGAAGGGCAGCAAGAGCGCTGTTGACCAAGGTCTCAGATTCTGCATCAAGAGCAGAGGTTGCCTCATCCAGAATCAAGATATCGGGATCTTTGATGAGAGCACGAGCAATGGCAATGCGCTGCTTTTGCCCACCAGAAAGCTGAGCGCCGCGAGGTCCAACCTGAGTATCGAGTCCATCGGGCTGATATAAGTTAGAAAAATGTACAGTCAGAAAGCAAGTTGTCCACTTACGAAATCGCTGATAAACTGGCAGTTCGCCTTTCTGGCTGCTGCAATGATCTCTGACCTAGTAGCCCGTGGCTTGCCATAAGAAATGTTTTCAGCAATTGATCCCGAGAACAGGACAGGCTCCTGAGCAACAACACCAATCTTCCTGCGAAGGGACTTGGCGTTCATCTCGCTGATGTCTTGGCCGTTAATCAGGACCCGTCCTTCGGTTGGGTTGTAGAACCTTAGTAGAAGCGAAGCAATAGTTGACTTTCCTCCACCCGAAGGACCGACGATGGCGACGTTCTTTCCTTGCGGTATCTCAAAGTTCAATTCCTTGAAAATAGGAACGGCTGGTCGCGTGGGATAGCTGAAGTTCACGTTTTCAAAACGAATAGGACCACGGGCCGATTCAACCTTCTTGCCTTTTGTCGGGGATATCGTTGGCTCACGATCCTGCAATTCGAAGAGGCGACTAGCAGCTCCAACACCCTTCATCAGCTCGGAGTAGAAGCTAGAGAGACCGAACATGCTGGAACCGGCATAAGCAGTATACATCAAGAAGGATGTCAACTCTCCAATCGTGATGCCACCTGACTGAACCATGCCGCCTCCAACATAAAGCAATGCAAGGATGGTCATGTTGCCCATGAAGCCAGTCTGATTGTGATGTCAGCTAAATGGCACCAATTGATAAACGCACAAATACAGGGGAACATACGGAACTGAAGAAGGTAGCGCTAATCAAAGATTCCCTCTTGCCAAGCTCGAATATCTTGCGCACTTGGTTATTGTACCGGTTCACTTCGAGAATCTCACCAGCAAAAGACTGGCTAGTCTTGACATTACCAAGACGCTCTTCCGCAATCTTGGTCAAAGTACCGAGGTTTCTCTGGATCTTGCGACTGAGGTTCCTTATTGCCCTACCATAGAAAAAGGCGCCGAGACCAATGGGAGGCAATAGCACAAGCAAGACACTGGACAGCTTGAGACTGACATAGGTCATCAGACCAAAGCCTGCTGCACCACTAACCGCTGCTCGTAAGCCGTCCGACAAGTTCTGCGTGATACTTTTGCCCACGATAATGGTGTCAGAACCGAGTCGTGAGATCAAGTCGCCCACTCTGTTCGCGTCGAAGAATTCCGCATCTTGCACAAAAGTATTACGGAAAAGCTTAGAGCGAAGCCTTGAGACAATGCGCTCTCCAACGATACGGAGGATGACAATGCGACCATAGTTCGCAGCGGCACCCAGTGTAAGGATACCGGCCAAAGCTCCATAGAACATCGGTACACTCAAGCCGAAGAGCAAGTTTTGACCGCCCTCTTCGTCAGACGTCTTTGTAGCTGCATCCATGATTTTGCCGATGGAGAAGGGAACGGACATGGTAATCGATGACGAAATAAGCAGGAAAAAGAAAGCAAACCCGAGCTTTCTAGCTTCGGGTCGCGCAATGAGCAGGAGTCTCCATATCTCTTTGAAGCCGGCTTTCTTGTTTCCAGATCCGTCTTTCGAGAGCTTAGCAGCAAGGTTTACCTGCGCAGCCTGCGCTCCCTTTTCGGATAGTTCGAAGCCCTTGTCTATGTCTTCGTCTTCCTTGTCCTGAGCCGTGGCGTTGTTCGTTTGAGCAGATTTAGCCGATGAGTTCACTGGCTTGGATTCCAATGACCGTTGCGAAGAGGAAAAGAACCGAGATTGCGCTATTAATTGCGACCGTATGATATCGAACCGTGAACCGTTACTTGGACGGGTGGATAGTCCAGACGTTAGCGAGAGGTTGTTGCGTAATGAACCCGAGATGCCCGAGAATTGACGGCCAGGGACGCCAAAGATGCCAAATCCAGATTGATGTGGACGAGCTCCAAAATAAAGCTCATTGAGTATGCTCCCATTTACCTGAGCTCCCCGTCTGGCGGTGACGCCGGGGGCCCAGGAAGCCAGCAACCTGGCTCCGCGCATTTCGGAAGATAGAAAGCGGATTCGGATGGCTGCTCGAATGGATGCCAAACGGAGTAATCAGGGTGCCATATCCCACTAGACAGCCCGATGTCTGCTAGATCTCATGACAAATCAAAGGTAAATCGCTCTCCGGGAGACCGCTAGACGCTTGGATGGCAGAACATGTCAGCCGTGAAGCCGCGAGTCCGGCCATCGCCGTTCGGCCTCGCATCGGCGATAGTTCTGCCTGTGGACACCGCCTGCCCTGATTCCGCCGCCGTCGAAGCTGGTCGAGAGCTTTCGATGATCCCTCGGACGCTGGGATAGGCTGCGCTCGTGCATTTCTTGGTTTCTAAGCTCTGAAGCTAACTTGGAGTCGAGTTCGCTGACCATATATTATCTGGGATTATATCCGTACAAACGACTCCACCCCATTTCCAGGCTCTATACATCTACTCGTTTACCCCACCCTCACCCCTCCTTATACCATCGACTACATTCCGCACTCGCCCAACATGGTGCTTGACTACAGCAAATGGGATGCACTGGAGCTGTCTGATGACTCCGACATTGAAGTGCACCCGAATGTTGACAAGCGTTCTTTTATTCGGGCCAAACAAGCCCAGATCCATCAACAACGTGCCCAGCGCCGCCATGAGATCGAAACTCTGAAGTACGAGCATATTGTCAATAACGGCCTCCTTGCACGAATCGATAAACTTCTTACGGCTCTGAAGCAGAATGAAGGCTCCAAGTCCGTCGAGGAAGTGATCTTCCAGAATCTTATGGAGTTTGCAGGCAACCCATCGGACGACCATCCTCCCGCAGCCCCGGCGGGGGTCCATACTCAGGAGAAGGAACAGCCTAAGTACTCACAGATGATGAGCGCTCTGGTTGACCAGGTGAAGAAGGAAATGGGCGATGTCAGTTCGGAGAACCTCTATCAGGAATATATCAAGGGTGTTCAGAGGCACAACGAGAAGGTGCAGGGCTTACAAAAGGAGCTTCTCCAAAGACTTGCCCAGCTTGAGAAGGAAGAAGGCAGTAAGATTACCAGCGAGGGGTTGCACGAGGGGTTCAACACTTCCCACATTGCCAAGCCTGGCGAAGCTAAGGGCCAAAAGACGGAGACAGTCGAGCTTCTGAACCCTGGAGCTTCTACGGCGGGCTCATCCCAGCAAGCTGCTGCCCCAGCTGCTGACGATGATGACGAAGAGGAGGATCCCGAGAACGTCAAGGCCAGTGAACTTGCCAAACGATTCGCGAAAATCAACCGCAACGATTACCGTGCCTTGCTTCAATTCATCTCTGAGAACCCACAGATTGTTGCTGAGAAGGAAACGGATGGTCTATTGGTGGAAGCTTTCAACAGCCAAATGGAGGGCAAAGAAGACTACGCCCGCACCTGCGTTCACCAAGGCTTGTTGTTGCAGTACTGCCGCTCTCTGGGTCGCGACGGTATCTCGCTTTTCTTCAAGCGGTGCGTATGCGAACGATCGATTCCCTTGAGTCGCTTGCTAACAGGTATATTCGTATAGTATCACAAACGCAGACCACCAGGCTGGAACCCTCTTCCGGAACGACGTGAACGAAACTTACCATAAAATAAAGACCCGCGCCGCGGAGCTGGCGAAAGACGGCTCTGCTTCTAACGACCCCGCTGGAGTGGAACAGATCCAGCTGCATGCAGTCGACCCGAACACTAAGATCACCATCAACATACCTTCTGCTGAGGGCGATGATCCTGTTGAGGTTGAGGCGCGCAAGGTGTACGAATCCTTCTCCAAGGATCTACAGAAAGCCTTGGCGTCAGAGTCTTTAGATGAGGTCAACAAGGTCCTCGGTAAGATGAGCGTCGAAGAAGCCGAAGATGTCGTTGAGAAGCTAGGACAGAGTGGCATGCTGAGCCTGGAGGAGGGCATTGTTGATGCGACCACGGAAGAAGGAAGGAAGAAGCTGGAAGAAATTGAGGCAGAGAATAAGCGGGAAAGAGAGGAACAGGACGTAGGTGAACCAGGAGGCGATATCACTGAGCTGGACTGAGGTATGAGAAATAATAATGCATATGTTTGGGATGGTGGAAATGCTTGTATTTGTCAACAGCGACTGTGTTAATGGTTGATTTGAATGTGCTCAAATTGTTAGTATAGCATCTAAGCCCCTACCTCCGAGTAGGAGGATTACAATGTGTGAATACATGCTCTAAGTAAGATGTACTTTTAGCGAATACCAAGTCTCTTGATGTTTTGCATAAGCGGCGTACTTTTAAAGTAGTAATGGACGTGGAAGGAAATTAAAATGTTCCAAAGTATGTAATCTACCTACATCAAGGGGAAATAAGCAACATAAGAAGACATGTGTTTAAGAATTGAACAGAAGGCACATGTACTGAGAAATAGCCATTATCTCGAGTACTTGACGAACTCCTGTATAAGAAAGTACGATCGGGTCGAGAATCTGAGGCGCACGGAGGTGGTATGAATGGTGACGGTCGTGATAATAAAAGGCGCTGGAATGCAGAGGACAAGGGTAATCTCCAGTGCTTCAACTCTTTCCCACTCTCTGAGATCGTATCATTAGACCAAAGTCTTATTTTGTGGAATTCGGCCTTCTTCGCATCCCAGAGTCCTTGTAGTTGGAACCCATTATAGTTTCAGCTGCTTAAACGCCGCTGACACCAGGGGCATTCTGGTCCTTCTTAAGGTCAAGGAGCAGCTCTCGGAAGCGCTCCTTGCCGGAGCCGCTGGCACCACCCTTGGTTCCCTTTCCGGAGACATCTACAAGCTTCGCGATGCGTTCCCAGCTAGTACCTCCCGAGGAAGTGTCCTCCCGGTTGGACAGGAACTGATCTGCCTCAGCACGAGTCTGGGCACGAAGCTTGTCGGTCTTGTTGTTGTATGAGACATAGAAGTCGTCAATATCCTCGCGCGCCTTCTTTATGGTAGATTCCTTCTTCTCTTCCGAGATCTCCGCACGACGCTGAATGTCCGCATCTCGCCGCTCACGCCATTCCCTACAAGACATCTACCATCAGCACATGGACCGGATACAAGTGACATAGCAAAAGCTATGAAAGTCTTCTCTGGCTGCTGATATGGGTGGCACATACCTGACGGGCTCTGGCTCCTCCTCCGGGGCTTGAGAGGTGTAGTTGGAATACCCGGTGGGTGGAAAGGGGGCACCCGACCCAGTGATTGTGCCGCCAGGAGCAACTTGCTGGTAAATTCGCAGTCACGTTAGAGACTCCCCCAAGCATATACCAGACATGTCTCATACCTCGTTTTGTGTGTCGAGAGCAGGGAAGGAAGACTCGAATCCAGCGATCTCCTGAGGCTCAACACCACCCGCGGACGGGGCGGCATCCGCACCTCCCAGCAAGTCGTCGTCATTGTTTATATCGTCGGCGACATGATCTTGGGGAGTCGCAAATTGTTCCGCATCATCACCGAGCATAGCCCGTTCGCGAGCTAGGAAGTCATTTTCATCTGAGGCACCGTTGGTCTCAACGACTTCGGTCTGGCCTAGAGACCGGGGTTAGTGTTATGTAGTGTTGGCGGGCATGACGCCGGCTGCTCACCTGCAGAGAAGTCCTCCAATGAAGGGAAACGATCCGCCATACTTTTCAATTATCGTAAACTGAGTTATAAATTGAATTCACGAAGAAGTTGAATTAAGAGAAAGGGGTCAAATGAGGAGAGATGAGAATGTGAACGTAAGGCTCCAGCTGGCGTCTTGGGGATCGAGCGGACCGTTCCAAGTATGAATGGAGAACCCCCCGGATTCTGCCAAGAAGGCGGTCTGACAGCTACACAGCAATTACCAGGTGCGACGGATGAGCTTCACTGTTCCTCAGGACCATTTCACTCTTTCACGTCAGATATTCAGGGCAGTGGTCATATCAATCCGACCCAAGCTGAAGTGAATTTCTTTTCTATTGCGCATTCTTGGTACATTGTGCCCGTTGTCATTCGTTCCAGCATTCGCGCTTAAGGAATAGCGATCCAAGTCCAAGCTCGCGGCGATCAAAACACACTGCATTCACACATCTTTCATTACTCTTTCTACCAGAGATTTCTTCTACCTTGGCCATATTAGCAAGTATCCGAAATGGCCTATACGGATGATGCTGTGAAAGCGAAGCTTTCAGCCCTCAACGAAACCCAGGAAGGCATTGTCACAGTTGCGCAATGGGTCATGTTTCACAGGTAAGATGACAACTGTTCGTATATACAAAGACTCTGCTTATATGTTATTTCAATCTTAGACGACACGCCGAACGAACCGCACAGCTCTGGCTGCAGAAACTCCGCGATTCCCCAGCACCGAAGCGTCTGAACCTGATATATTTGGCCAATGGTATAGCTTCTGTTCCGAGTCGGTTGTAGTTCGACACTAACAGCATCTCAGAGGTCGCGCAACAGTCTAGAGCTCGACGGAAGGAGGACTTCCTCATCGCATTCTCGCCGGTTGGTTTATCATTTCTGGGACCTGGCAGGTATTAGTGGTTAACAATTACCAGATTATCGCAGAGGCCACGGCTATCGCATACAAAGGTTCCTCAAACGATATTCAGCAAAAGATTCGTCGCGTGGTTGAAGTATGGAGACAGAGATCAATCTTTGAACTCCCCATTCAGGAGGCCGTAGAAGCTCGAGTAGATGGTAGGTCGTCTTGCGCTGTCCTCTTCATTCATCCTGCTTACTCCGTTGTAGAGATCGATAAGTCCCGCTCTACCGGTAAAAAGCCGTTGCTAGGAGGGTCCCTCTTCTCGAGCTCGTCGGGCTCAACACCGTCTGAACTTCAGCCTCTAGTGCCTCTACAAGTAGCCGTTTCAAAGGCTACAGTGGCTTCAACTGCATCTGCTACAGCTGCGAATGCAGAGTATGACAAGATGCATGACCCTAACACGCCTCTGCCTACCCCTCCAGTGCATGCGGCGCGGCTTAGCCAGCTGCTGAAAGCCCTTGCGAATGCAGAAAGCTCTGTATCCGAGGTCATCAAATCACGCACCGCTCTCATCGAGGGTCTCGAGAAGCTCCTCGCAACCAATCGCTCAGCTTTATCCAAGGAACAATCAATGGTCGCACAGTTGACGGAAAGAAAGTCGGAGACGGAAGCCACCAAACGAGAGGTTGAAGATGGGATTATGCGCGGGCTCTCTGCCGAGAATTCGCCTGCGATCAACCATGGCGATGCTGGGCCAGAGGGAGAGCCTATTTCTCGTCCAGAGGTTGAGGCCCTGACTCCTCCACCAGTTGAGGCCATTACACCTGTTGGTTCTCCCAAGCAGGCCGCACAGGACTCAGACTTCAGCGCAGTACCTCCTCAACCCCAGATACTGGGTGGATTTACCCTGCCTGGGTTCGGAAATCCAGCCGATTCTTCACTTTCGGCGGCGGGCTTCCCTCCTGCGGGACTCGGCGAGCACCAAACAGACGGTTCGAACGGGCTCCATGCCAAGAGACGCAAGGTTACGCATGAAGAGGAGGATTACGCTCAATTCGCAGGCGGCGACTTGGATGCTGATGTAGCTGAGCTCTTGAAACAGGAAGGTGATGCCCAGCAATAGGCCATTTTAAGTTCACCCACTATGCGGTCGGTGGCAGGCGCAAGCTCGCTTATCTTTTAACCCGACAGACTTTATTTTTTACTTTCAACATTATTTATTCTGTCGTCTTAAGTGCTGTTTACTGAGAATGTAGTTATCCATTTTCTGTTGCGAGGCACGCCCATTCTTGCCTATTATGATAATATCTGGATATCCACTGTTTATGCGATTAGCAATACGTCCGAGATTCATGCCCGCCGGACGAATTGGTTTCTCTCGAAGGGAAACAATACGTCACTGGAATACGTTTGAATTAGTTTCATTACTATTATCATGGAACGCTGAAATGCGAACTATCGAAATATATCCGGATCACCCCATTTGTTTCTCGCAATCCGTAACGAAGAGGGACTCCTCTTGCGGCGGTATATGGTATGGAAGGCACGAGGAGTCACTGCGGGCGGCTGTTCATTAGTTTGCGGGGGAGGTGGCGGCGCCGGTGCCGGAGCGGGATCCGGGGAACTGTGTTTCTTCGGCTTGACTAGTAAAACGATAAACAGGCCTGCGACTATGATCACCAGCAGGAGCATGATCTTGCGCTTCACTGTACGTCGTTGGTAGTTCGTAGCCTGCAAGATGCAGATTGGTTAGTAAGAACTTTTTCCTCGGGTGGCTGCATCGGACGCGAACGTACCACTTTCAGCTCTTTATCCGCGGCCTTGACCTCCGTGCCCATCCGCTCGATATTATAGTCAATCCGGTCCAGCATGGTACCCTGGTCGATAACCATAGACTGCAGCTCACGGAAAATGTCCGACAGCTCAATGATTCCTTTCGCGATGTCGTTAATTTCCCGCTCCCGCTGTTCAATGGCGGCATCGTTCTGGCCCGTCAGTCGTTGCGACGTCTGCATCAGCGTAGATTGCGAGAATGACTTGTCCGCATCGGATTCCATTAGCGACGGGTCTGTGTATGGATTCTGCATCGGTGTCGGGGAACGTTCAAATGGCGCTGATCCACCCTCCAGTCCTCGTAACTCTACCAGACAACTGCGGTTAGCTTAACATACAGACGCGGCGCAGCCCAGAGTAAACTCACTCTTCAAATAGGTACTCTGTTTCTTCCGGAACCGAGCACTAGCCTCTTGCACCCTAGCAGCAAGAGATATCTGCAGGTTTTTGGCCATGGTTTCATCGCCGCTGCTAACTCCACCTTGTTGTTGAGCTTCCCGTACCATCGTCTCGATCTTCTTAACCGCTTTCTGGCATTCATGAAAGGAGCGCGTGATATCCTGAGTGAGCCTCTCTATAACTAATTCATCTTGCTTTCGTACATCCTCGTCTCCGAACCCGGGTAGAAGGTGTTTCTGGTGTAGCTTATCGAGATGGGAGGACTTCTGCGCAATGTCCGCGAGTAGCTCCGTCACTTCCTCCTGTACGTCAACCCAGCGCGGGGGTAAAACGTCCATTTCGATAATTGCGTCGCCATCGTCGTCGAGACCGCCGGTTTCTGATATGAGTCGTCGGCTCTCCTCCGGCTGCGACAGGCTATCCGAGAAGCCATTGGACGCTCCGAGATAACGTGGCTTCTTGGCTGGGTGATGCGCAAACGACTGGCGGTAGGATATGTAGCTGTATCGAGGATGGATGTTAGCTCATGATCTTCGCCATTCTGGATAATCGAGCCTGGGATGCAATTACAGGTTGGTCCGGTCCCGCCACATTGTGAAGGGTAGGAAGAGAGGGTCGTTGGTCTGCGGTGATCCTTCGTCGGGGACACTCTTAGGCCACCCTGATCATTGTCCGGCCAGGGATGCCGTTCGATATTCAAGTCACAATAAACTCAGAGCAGAAGATCTGGACATATGAAATGGCAGTGAGGGGTATAGGCCGTTTTTCCGCGTCGTAGAATACAGCGTCGTAGGATGTATTCGATAGGACCGCTGTACTTCCCGGAGCTCCCCATCTCCATGTTGCACATGAAGGGACGGCCGCACCAATCCCAATGCGGTAGCACCCGTGCCGATCTAAATATATTACGTCAGCCACGATGCTCTGAGATGATGCCTGAGGAATTATGCGAGATTATGCATCTCAATTGGATTGGTCAAGTTCGGAAGATGATGTCCTGGATGAGGATATGAGGTCCGTCATGGGCGAGAGATACATATGGTATTGCTGTCTATGTTCCATGGATTATACACTATAATTAACATGCCGCACCGTCATTGCCTGTCACAAGAGAACTGTTGGGCTGTTTCGTACTTGGCTACTAAAGCATTATGAGACAAGGGTGACGGCTCGCTAATTCTATCTTTGAAGTAATACTTCGTGATAACCGGTCGTATTGGTTACCCAGCTGATGCAATCTACACAGACATATAGAAGAATATCAAGAGGCTTTACGTAGGGGTCAAGTTCGGATGATACGATGTTGATGGGAGCACGTAGCAGCCGTGTCGGATGCTCTGAATGTGACGAGACGTGGAGTGCTAGTAAGGAGTAGGCGCATCAATGATCTAATAGCTGCAATGGAGCTGTCTCACGTGCAGGTTTGTTCTGGTTTGTTTGGGATGTATCAAGCAGTTTTGGCAGGTCAAATGGGAAAAGTTGAGATCGGAAGTTGATTTGGTTGCAGACTCTAGCCTGAATATTGCAGACTTTGAGCAACTATGATGGCAATGGAGGTTGTCAGTCTCACTTTGCATGGTTACAGAGTACGCCAAGCCCAGATAACTTGCGCAGATATTCTGTACTTATGCCGCCTAGAGAAACAAGCCATGGTTCTGATTGTGAAGGTTTTAATCAAGGGCATAGAAATCGCAGGGGATGGAGAAGAGTCATCCTCTGCTTTGTTATTTGCATCACTGCACCCTCAGGTACAGAAGTGTCCCATATCAAGGTTCCAGGGTATAGTGTCTGAACAAGGTTCGTCCTGGTGAAAGGCAGGCGGGACTTGTTGCCTTCAAGCTTTGGTACTGCCGGGATCCACGGCTGGTCGTCACCAACTGGCCAAAAGGCGCCTACTTACAGATTGTATGCAAGGCTGCGCTCGACTTGCAGCCCTTCAAACGATTATGTTTAGGCAACGGGCATTTTCATAAGGCAGATATGACAGGACGCAGCGAGCCTGCAGCAGCTGAAGAAAAAGCAACCAACCAAAGCATGGAGGGGGAGCGTGCAAAAGGAGGCGAATTGACAGACGGGCGGGCAGGACAGAACAGCGTTTCCAGGCGCAGAGGGCACATGGTGGCCAGGGCGGGTCACGTTTCAGGCATAAGCGACCGCCTTGCCAGGCGTCCAGCTCAATGGTCATTTATTATTATGATGGATTCGGGTTCCCCTTAAATCATCTTCCACCAACACCACCACCACCTTCTCCTCCCCCCACAGCCCTTTACCGCTACCGTTTAAGCCACCAGCTTTCTTGTTCCCTTTCTACTCAGCTTCATTACCCTCCCGTGACTTATCACATCCCATATCAACCATGGTATGTACCTCCTTCCACGCTGTCCCGGCCAGTTGCGTTGAAAATCCCCCACTTTGCGGGGCAGATCTGCCTGGCATTCTCGACAGGATTGCTGACATCGCATCGTCTAGGCCGACTCTCTGACCGAAGAGCAAGTTTCTGAGTACAAGGAGGCCTTCTCCCTCTTTGTGAGTGCTCCCTGAATGGACCCCCGTTCCCTCAAATTGATGACCTATCTTTACCGACTCATAATGCTAATGTATCTTCGAACTCAATAGGACAAGGATGGCGATGGTGGGTGGAATTCTGTCCCCTTCACGTTTTACCTGTAGCGCCCAATCCGACCGCGGGATTTCGACAGCCATTCCCCCATCGAGCTGATTCATTATACTGATGTAATCTGGAAATAGGCCAGATCACTACCAAGGAGCTCGGCACTGTGATGCGCTCCCTCGGCCAGAACCCCTCTGAGTCTGAGCTTCAGGACATGATCAACGAGGTTGACGCTGACAACAACGGAACGATCGACTTCCCCGGTATGTGATAGATCTACGCCTGTAAGGCGGGAATGCCGTATGGGTTGTGATTGACTTTTGCCGCCAGAATTCCTCACCATGATGGCTCGTAAGATGAAGGACACCGACTCCGAGGAGGAAATCCGCGAGGCTTTCAAGGTCTTCGACCGCGACAACAATGGTTTCATCTCCGCCGCGGAGTTGCGCCACGTCATGACCTCCATTGGCGAGAAGCTCACTGATGACGAAGTCGATGAGATGATCCGTGAGGCTGACCAGGACGGTGATGGCCGCATCGACTGTATGTTTCCAATTCTTGAAACCCCAGTGATATGACATGCTAATTCTGCTATCAGACAACGAGTTCGTCCAGCTCATGATGCAAAAATAAACGGCTCTTCATGTTCTATTTGTCTTGTGTTAGCGGAAAGGGTGGGGAACAATGAAATCTACTCCACAATGTCCCATCTTTTATCCCATCCCGTCTCTTGTAGTCTCATTATTTGGCTATGACTCTTATTCATCTTGATGATCGAGCGCTTCGCATTATCACTGTTGGTTCTAATGTTGCAGGAATGGTAGAGGCGACCATAGGTCTAGACTGGTTCGAGCGAGCTGAGATTGAATATGTCAGACAGGGAGGGCTTTGTCTTTGCTGGAATTCCTGCGTGATGTGGCCCGCAAGGGTTATTTGTTCCTCTTCATACCCGCTTACCCCTTTCACCATTGTCCATAGTCCCTTGTCGTGATTCGTTCCTTTGCCCGTCTGACATCTCGTAGTGGCTCGATTGCATCGGATAATAATCATTTTGATATTCCAAGACCGTTTTGATGTAGACAGGAGACAATGGGTTTATGCTGCTATTTCGTCAAAGTCCCACACGCTGCCTCCCGTTCTCAACAGAGAGCACCGAATGTGGAGGCCTTATATTAAATAACCCAGCTTCTAGCGCTCTTTGACGGCTACACCTGCACATCGCGTACATTCCTTGTGACAATTGTGACACAAGCCACCCGGAACTTAATAGACGAGATATCTCCCTTCAATCTACGATCTGCCAGCTTGATGACCATATGTCTTCTTAAATAAGCAATCTCCCAAGACAATTCAGATTAGATCCATCTCAATATCAAGGCCTGGTATTTTTACCGATTAAACCTAAAGATTTCCATGAACTGCCTCGCCACATCCACACCCGCATCCGGATCCGGATCCTCATCCGCTTGCTGTAGGTTTGCCTCGTCAGAAACAGTATGTCTGCCCTTCTGCTTCAACCTCCTCAACCGATCCTTAGCTTCCTTCCCCACATCCGGCAATAAGATAGCTTCCCTGGCCCCCTCAATGCCCAATTTCGCCCAGAATTCCCGGATCAACGCCGCACTCGCCGCATACTCGTCATCAATATCCGTATCTTCAATAGCATCCGGGAACGCCATATCAACTCCGGAGTCGTCATCGTCAGCTAATTGCCCGTCGCTCGGATTCCGTGGTGCTGAAATCGAATCGACTATACAGGGACCCCGCCATTCGATTTCAACAACTGTTCCGCGCACCCTTGCTGCTGGCTGAGTCTGTCGCACATCACCCACTCGAACCCGGAAGTCACCCACATCGTAGACCACGCCGCCTGGTACGGTGACCGTGTGTCGATGGCACCAGAAAGGCTGGCAAGCGTAGCCGAAGTGCTGGAAAAGCGCATTACAGGATGGAAGCGGCACGGTGGTCATGACCATTGGTCCTCCTGACGGTGCAGCGGCATTAGATGGGGTGGAAGGAGTGGGCGCTGTTGCGCCTGGAGCTCCACTTTGAGGAGCAGTGTTGGTGGGTGAGCCTGCTGGTGTGGGATTAACACTGGTTGCCGTGTGGTGAGTGGTTTTTTCTAGTGCTTCAGAGGTGTAGATGAAGCCGTGATTGGAGTGAAAAGACAGTGATAGGAATTGCATATAGCGCGGTTGCACTTGGCGCTGAGATGCTGAGGCTGGAACACATGATGGCGTATCACGCATTAGCCTGTGTTCGAGGAACCAACGGCCTACTAATGTTGGTTCGTCTGCTAGGGCTGTGTGTAGGCGCTCTGTGATTGTGGCTAGCCCTGTGGATGCATTTGGATTGGAGGGGATGAAGTAGACTCTGGATGGTTGTAAATCAACAAGATATGAGGATAGGTGATAATTGGTGAGCGCTTACCCTGTGATAGGCATTTTGTAGTATTTGAAACACCCTTAATAGATGTTGTATCTCTATGGATGGTTTCTTCTTGTCCTTGAGTAGTGCGTCTACGAAGTGATTCACGTGCCAAGGACACAAGAGGGGTATCTTCTTGAAAGCAAGGCAAGAAAGAAGTGCAGTAGATATGTGTAAGAGTCAATGACAATAATAGTATGGGCTCAATTGATAGCGAGTCTGGTAGTAAGCAGGCAGCACAGGTAACTCATTTAATACGCGATTCGTCTATGTCTAATCATACATTAGTATATTAAGCATTGGATGGGTCCGTGCTATTGGTGGAGATTATCTAGACATACCAAGAAGAATGCAATAGCAGTTTATGTTGCTTTGAGTAGTATATCACCCACAGCTCTAGTAGGACTGATTGGACTGTCCGTGGCTTTTTCGGGCATGTGACCCGTCATGACTTGGAGACAGTGTTGACTGCCTTGGGGTTCAGGCCACAAATATGCAAACCGGTCAAACACCGCCCCCAAGCAACAACTTTGACCCCAACTGGCATTAACTCCCACTCCGACCTCCGACTCTCATTTCCTCCATTGTCTGTGGCTGTTCACTGGCCCACCTCCACTTCGAGTACCAACAGTAATCAATTCCTGGGCCGTCTGGGTCCTCGGGGCTCCACTCTCGCATTTTATCCCCGACTCTGTCTCTGATTGAGCCACAGCGACGTCCTGAGATCCGTCTAGACTTTGTCTGGAGTATCCAGGGGAACGCACTTCCACTTTCTGTTCTCTACACAGTACGCGCGTATGTCTCTCCTTGCCAAGACGCGGGACAAATACTCCGGACAATGAGGCTGAGACCACAAAGGGGTCTTAGTTTTGGAGCAGTCGACGTCAAGTGGTCAAGAATAGAATATCGCACCCACTCCAGGTGGACTTAACACTCCCTATTCTGCGATCCTTGAGACCGGCCAGGGTCCAAGGGACCACAAGCTTACGCAATGAGCAGATCCTTTTGCCATATTGCTTGTTTACGCTCCGCTCGACTATTACTTATTTTGGTAAGTGTCGTTGCCAATGAACCTTTTCAGCCATTCACCCTCTCCTCTTTGCGATCAACATGCCACCCATGGCTAGGCGCTTGTAAGATGGAGCAGTAAACGCTCGGATGCAACATACCTCCACCGCAGCGCCAATGCTTATTTGCTCGCGACAATTGGGATAGAAAGACCGGACCAGGGGCGATCCTTAACAACAGGGTATATACGGTGCCCATGCCTTGTCTAGTTTGTACCAGTGTGCTGCACTTGCAAAGAACCGTCGCCTTGGTCGGTGTCTTTGGTGTTCATTCCCAGAACCATCCCCTCTTTTTAATCTCGTCGGCGTTAGCTCGCTGGACCGATTACTGCTAAACCTGGCATTGAGCATGCTCACGCATCTCCGATGTTACCTCTCATCTGATTAATATAACCCATTGCTGTGATCTGCACAGCTGTCCTCTCCTTTTTGCTGTCTGCTTCTCGTTGATTTAGCGATTCTTTATCAAGTATTGTCTATAGTTTGCCGTAACCATGGCGCGACGGAGCTACCTCCTACCCACCATCATTCTCCTATGCATCACATACGCTCTTTTCTCGAGTCTACCGCCCAGTGCGAAGCCACATTACCACCATCATTTCAGAAATCCATACGACCCTCCCCCGCATAAAGAGGGTAGGATCCGTTGGCGGAAGCATGCCGAGCAGTACCCGATCTCCGATTATATCCCTCTTCCTCCGACTGCGCCATCCACTATTCCACAAATTCAGTACAAGTTCTCTAAGGAGTCGTGGTTTGCACGATGGGGACGGGTGAAAAGGCAACGTGCGGTCAAGAAAGCATTCCAGCACGCGTGGAAAGGGTACAGGAACAATGCCTGGCTGGAAGACGAGCTCTCTCCCCTCACTGGTGGCCACCGGGAGACCTTTGCGGGTTGGGCAGCTACTTTGGTGGATTCCCTAGATACTCTCGTTATTATGGGACTCACTGAGGAGTTTGAGGAGGCCGTGAAAGCGCTTGAGTACATCGACTTCACTACCACCAGCGCCATTCAGATCAATGTCTTCGAGACCAACATTCGGTACTTGGGCGGGCTTCTTGGTGCCTATGACTTGACCCAGGGTAAATATCCGATTCTCCTGAAGAAGGCTGTGGAAATTGCGGACATGATTTATGGATCGTTTGACACTCGTAACCGAATGCCGCAATCGAGGTGGGAATGGACCAGGTAAGACACCCAGCAGATGCCTCGGTTGCCAAGCGATTCCTAGGTGTCGCTAGGGTACCATTATGACTCAGGTTGGGCCATGTTGACTGGGATCTAGATCTGCAGATGGCCTGAGCATCGAGCCGGGCCGAAACACCATACTTGCTGAACTCGGGTCATTGAACCTAGAATTCACGCGACTCTCTCAGCTAACAAAGGACCCCAAATACTTTGATGCTATCCAAAGGATAACGGATTTTCTCGAGGATACTCAGGAGACAACCGATGTACCTGGGATGTGGCCCATGATGGTCAATGCTAAGGACTTGGAATTCGCTGACCCCCGATTCACCATCGGAGGAATGGCTGACTCGACATATGAGTACCTCCCGAAAGAGCATATGCTTCTGGGAGGGCAGACCAGTCAGTACCGTAGAATGTACAACTCCTTCATGAAGGCGTTGAAGAGCCGCCTGCTTTTCCGCCCGATGACCGAAGACGGCCGCGATATCCTCTTTGCTGGGAACCTCCGCGTTACTGGATCTTCCAGCCGGAATAACCTAGAGCCCCAGTGGGAGCATCTCAAGTGCTACCTCGGAGGTACCGTCGGCATAGGGTCTAAGGTGTTCGACCGACCCGAAGATTTGGCTGTCGCGCGGAAGCTGGTCGATGGGTGCATTTGGGCCTATGATATTATGCCGACTGGAATCATGCCAGAGATCTTGCATCTTACTGTGTGTAAGGACGATGAAAATTGCCAGCTGCCTCAAAGCTCTCAGCCCACCAGCACCTCCAAGGATGGCAAGAAGTTGCCGCCAGGCGTGGCCGATATTCCTGACCCCAAGTATCTACTGCGGTATGTTCGTTCGCTTCATTTGTGACACTTGTGTTCTCCATCTAATACCATCTTAGACCCGAAGCTATCGAGTCGGTTTTTATCATGTACCGTATAACGGGGGACCGGTCTCTGCAGGATGCTGCGTGGAGGATGTTCCAAAATATTGACAAGATGACGCGGACCTCGTTTGGACACGCAGCCATTTCCGATGTACGGGACCCCGAGTCGCCGCAGATGGACTACATGGAGAGTTTCTGGCTGGCGGAGACTCTAAAGTATTTTTACCTCATATTTTCCGAGCCGGACCTCGTGAACCTAGACGAATATGTGCTGTAAGTCTTACCCAACTCGTTTTCCCGATACTTTACGCGGACAGTTCACTAAACATTGAGCAGGAACACGGAAGCACACCCTTTCAAGCGTCCAACTGCTTCAAGTACATAATGCAGTTGTGTTTTCTTTTTGTGATAAGCATGCATGGCGAACGGGCGTCGCCATCAGTGATTGACCTTAGACACCAGATGGTCTCTATACATATGAAAAACCATCTGATAAGTAAATAGTCTATGAAGGCGTCATTGGTATTTCCTATGGAGTTATTCATTCATTAGAGCGCCAATCATATAGAGGCGCTATACTATACAATATATACATTTGCAAACACGGAACTACTTCATCACCAATAGGATAGTAGTAGCCCAGCACTACCTCCAACCAGCACCAGACATGCACAAATCAGAATGCCTATCATACTCAATCGTATACTCCACATCCTTCCGGATCATCATCTTCCCACTCCCACCATCACTTCCAACACTGCGCTGCCCATCCATCTCAACAAGCTCAATATCAGGTTCAGCCACAGGACCTGCCTGATGCCCACCATCCAATCTCCTCGATACCCTCCACGACCGCCTCTCCTCATGATTCAAATAAGTCTGTCTTCCAGACCCCGCTTTGGACGAATCGACCTTCCACGACAGCGACACTCCACTCGTACTCTCGAGATTCGAGTCACCCGCTGTCCCGTAATTGGTGCTCACTGCCGCCATGAACGGCCGTAGACAGAAGATACTGCACGCCACGAGAGCGTAGTTGAGTTCAACCTGGGCCCAGATGATGGGTGTGACGACGGCTAGTGTGGGATCCGGGGAGTGGACAAGGAGGAGGATGGTGTAGATGTGGAAGACGGAGAAGATTATCAGGCTTGGTTTTGAAGTCATAGGTGTCAGTATTGATCTGCGCCATTCGCTTTTTGCGCTGGGACTGAGTGAAAGGTAGGTAGCTAGGAAGGAAGGATAGTACTCACGGAAGCCGAAACATAAACGCAAATCCGATAGTCAGCTTGCGCTTGAGGGGCATGAATAGTCCCCAGAGTAGGAACACGGCTAGTCCGAAGATGATAAGCTCAGTCGCTATGTCTAGTGCGACAATGAATTGCCAGCGTTTGGACTTGAGAGCAGATTGTTAGTAATATCCCTCAGTTGATTGTCTACTATGTATGAGTTGTCTGCAGGAGATGCTAGGAGGAGTGTACCAGATTCACACATTGTCCTCCGGAACCTTTCCAGGGACGATTCAATTCGCAGTTCACCGCGATGATGAGAACGGCCGGTATGACCCATGCTGTGCATAGAGCGAGAGTGGCTATGGAGGCTCGGTTATGCCATTTCTGGGGCGTGAGACGGAGGTAGATGCCGCAGACGCAGCATTTGGAGATATAGACGGTAATTAGGTAGAGAATGTCGCTGACTGTGATGAGCTAATAATTGTTAGGAGGGAATTAGTATGTCTTGTAGAAGGATGATGAGGTAGTAGACGCACTGTTTGGATTTTATCCACCTGATCCTGTTCCAGAAGGTGGATTGATGTCCCGAAACCATGTGACACGGCATTGAAGAGGAGTGCTGCTTGCACGGTTGCTACTATCTATATTTCAACAATCCTCGTTAACACAGGTATTCAAGATCCAGATCAATTGACTTACCGTCGCTCCAAGGAGAAGATAATCATCGAATGCAAACGGCGGATGGAGAGCAATTCGCACATACAATCTGATAAAGAAGCTGACGAGAGATACGACCAAACCCAAAGCTCCAGTGATGATAATCCAAGCTCCATGATGCAAATCATCTACCACTTGAAAAGGGGGAGATTGTCCCGGCGGGACATACGGGCCGCTCATGCTATGGCTGAGGCAGGATGTGTTGATTGCCTCTCGGATCCTGTGAACAGATAAACGAAAGCAAAGACCATCCTCTACGAAAAGCTTCGACCAGGATGGTGGAGATATGCTCTTATACAATGTGGTATTGTTGCCATTTTGCTTTTCCAGGATGCGCTCTCATCGTGGCTGGTTGGCTGATTTTTTCTGTGACTGAGTTAGAACCCACGCATGCGATGCAAGATACATGATGCACGTCGAGCGATATGCCTTTTCCTGGGCACACGGACCACATGCCAGGATGACGGTGTCGGGGGGAAAGTAAATTCTCCATGGTTAGCCAGTTAAGAGGCGTAATATGGGAGAGATCAGCATGTCCGTTGCCTCGTTCTGGATTGTCAGAGGATAGGTAAAGTGCGTGAATATTCCTACAACTAATCATCGAGGGGCTAACTTTCTGTTTGAGGTAAAACATTAATTGGGAGCTCTGTGAAGACCAGAACCTCTGTGCCGATCTAGACCGCTAGATCAAGCGCTGTCAAGGGGCTGCATATCAGCCCACGTTCAACATGACGATCTGTCAGGTGGTACAGATGGGGTTCTGACGCAGCCTGTGGCTATGCCAAAGCAAAAAGCATCTTGTCCTACAATGGTATGTCTCCAACAAGGCTCGGGTGTTTCTAGCCTGCAGATTGGTTCCAGCTCTTTGGGCTACAAGGGTACCGCCGTGAAAAATACCCCGAGATCGTGTGGGTGATCAATCATAGTTGATGGCCGGTGTCTCAATCCCTTTCTTTTCACTCTATCCTTGCTTGATCCCGATGAATCCAACACTGCGCTCGACAACTTTACAGAGGCATTACTATTTACGGTAGGCGACAAAGCAAATGCAGTGGTAATGAGGATCAATATCGAGATCGACGTTTATATTGTTCGCTTAAAGCCACAGACCCGTGCAATTTATGGTGATGAGCACATGCTCGTGAATCGAACGTGGGAGGTTGCCTTCTCTCCCCGCGGAGACTGGCTGCCTTCCCGTCTGTCCTACCCCTTACTTGGGTTTGAAACTGGGAATCCTCATCCCGACAGCCAGGATATTGATAAAGCCACCATAAATATCTCGAGCTAGAAGTTCTAGGGCTTTTCAGTATTGTTTGAAAGGTCTCAGACTTGAGTCAAGGCATCAATGTCTTGGATATATCCGTCATTGTGCCCAACTGCGAGCTCGTATAGGGATCCCGAGAATCACACAAGAAAAAGCAAGCATACTTGATCTGCGCTACGAAGCCACCAATACGCACATACGATTCCAGGATATGTTTCAGAATTGCCTTTATCTAGCATGTCGTGTCCGGCTGAAGATTGTGACCCAGCGCCACAAGAATGCGTTGACACGGATTAATTGATACCCATCTGCCTGCCGTCCTAGAGAGAATAACGGCCATTGTCAGTGCCTGTAATCTCGCAGTGCCTGGTACAACTGAGATCATACACCCTTGGTCATTAGTCTTCATCATGGCTCTCGATAGTGGCAACATTGAAGGGCGAATATATATGGAAGGTTCTCAAAATGTTGAGAAAGCACCCAAGGGCCTTGTGGCCCCTAAGTACATGGGTACTATAAGAGACCAGCGCGACATGAGTGCACTGGGCCGTGTCCAGGTCTTAAGGGTAGGATGCTATTTTTCATGCTATAGCTGCCTGATGCTGATGCAAGACAGCGAAATTTCAGATTCATCTCAATTCTTGGATTCGGCTGTACATTGATCTCCACATGGGAGGTCATCTTAACGTGAGTACTGCTACAGAAGCTATAGTCCATCGATTAATCTATGTGCAGGTTATTGACCAGTGGTCTGACAGATGGAGGGACCGCTGGGCTTATATGGGGCTTCATCATCGTCACAGCCGGCTTCGCGCTTGTCTTTGCCAGCATAGCTGAGATGGCATCTATGTAAGTTTTGAACCCCTTAACTATTTTTTGCTCGGAAGGGAGTCGAACCTTTTCTAAAAAAAAAAAAAAAATCAAAGGTCACCAACATCAGGTGGTCAATATCATTGGGTATCAGAATTCGCTCCTCGCAGGGGGCAGAAGTTTTTGAGCTATATAACTGGTATGTCGAGCATATGCGCTCTTCCAGCTCAAGACTGACAAAGACACCAGGATGGCTGTGTGCGACAGGTTGGCAATGTGCCATTGTAGCCATTGCATATCTGGCAGGTACAATAATACAAGGATTGATAGTGCTAAATCATCCGGATTATGAATTCGAACGGTGGCATGGTACTCTGCTTGTTATAGCTATCACGGCATTTTCGATCTTATTCAACACATTTCTAGCCAAGAATCTCCCTATGGTTGAGGGACTGATACTCATCATTCATGTTGTGGGTCTATTTGCTATCATTATCCCACTTTGGGTACTTGCTCCTCGAAATAGCGCCAAGGCTGTCTTCACCGAATTCTACGATGGAGGCGGATGGGGAAGTCCTGGCACCGCTACTCTTGTCGGCTTGTCTACTACTATCACTTCCATGATTGGATACGATTGCTCTGTTCATATGTGTATGTGCCTCTTCCTTATCGAAAGCCTTATTCTAATACAAGGATAGCGGAAGAGATTAAGGACGCATCAGAAACACTTCCGAAGGCTATGATGTCTGCAGTGGGTGTTAATGGCATTCTTGGATTCATTATGATTGTTACCCTATGCTTTACTTTAGGAGATGTCAACAACATCTTGCAGAGCCCAACTGGGTTTCCATTCATCCAGATATTCTACAACACTACCCGCAGCTACGCGGCAGCAAACACTATGGCAGCTATACTAGTGATCACGCTGACCGCCAGCACGATCACCGAAGTAGCCACAGCATCCCGCCAACTGTGGTCATTTGCGCGAGACCAAGGACTCCCATTCTCGTCTTTCTTTGCATATGTAAGTACTATTATACAACAGCTACCAGCTCTAGTCACCAACATACCAGTTTGCAGGTCACTCCCGGCTGGAATATACCTCTGAACTCTGTCCTCGTCTCACTAGTCGTTACTGCGCTCTTAAGCCTCATAAACATCGGGTCCAACCTAGCTCTGAACGCTGTCATCTCATTAACAATAACATCGCTCATGTCAGCCTACATCCTGTCCATCGGGTGTGTTCTGCTGAAGCGACTGCGCGGGGAAAAGCTCCCACCGCGCCGATGGTCGCTCGGCCGGTTCGGAATGGGCATCAATATTGCTAGTCTCGCGTTTCTATTTCCGATATTTGTCTTTTCGTTCTTTCCACTTACCAAGTCTGTCGACGCGCATAGTATGAACTGGAGTGTCGTTATGTATCTGGCAATGGTTGGGTTTGCATCGGTATATTATTTCTTCTGGGGGAGATACCAGTTCATTGCACCGGTGGCCTTGGTGAAACGGGACATTGATCTGGATGATATGTGATGGATGAGTGCGGTGTACAGCAGTACGCTTGTTTTGTATATGATACAGCCTAACAACAAACCATCTGTACATGCGTCCAACGTAAGAACCTTATATCAAAGCTACAAAGGGTTCACCATTCATCTAAAGGAACACGAGTACAAAATGCGTTCGTTCCAAACGCAAAGAAAAAGTCGCAGCCATCTAATGAATATCACTTCCCACCATACACCCACACAAACAACAACACACTAAAACCAACTATTACTAGACATCAAAACGGACCAGAAAGCGGCCCCGTCCAGGGCAAACCCCGGCGATTGGGTATCCAACTCACCCGCGGAAATGCTTACACTGCATGACCAATGCACAACAACTAGTAATTACTACCTCCGCGCAAGAAAGGACACACACAATCATAGATCAACCGGAGCTATCTAGTCCACGGAACAACATACCAATACTTACATCATCAGACAGGGATATTCAGCCTTGAAACGCGGCCGGTCATTCTCTGTCGGGCACATCGGGACGGAATGAATACCTGATCGGTCATCACCCCTGCCGTGTGTCAGAGAGTGCGAGAGTGTGTGCAACCGTGCGCGCGCGACATCATAACCTCTACAGAAATGGGACGGATTAGAAGCTTACGGAAGGCCCAGGAGTGGCATTGGCACCTTGTAATCATAACAGAAGGTGTAGTAGATCTACAAAAAGGACCCATACTTGAGAATTAGGGCATACCAAACAAGATAGACAGCGAGAACAACACAAAAAGTACGGAGACACAACGTACTTACTAACCCACACCAACCCATAACAGTAGTAGAGACCGTCGCATCAAAGGAACCCACCCACACACCCGATTTAGTCACTAGTCAATAAATAACTTACTAGCTAACTAGTTAGTTAGTTCTATCTGGTGGATAGCGTCTTCTCGTCCAGCCCCAGAGCCTTGGGTTCTAGTCTAGCTCGATCAGATAAGCCCCCCTCCCCGCTGGGTATGTGTGCCGAAGGGGGTTGGTTGGTTGGTTGGTTGGATTGGGTGGGTGATCCTGATTGCGTAACGCGAACCCAGGCAGGCCCAGACCAAGAGTGTCTGTCTGTCTGTCTGTCTGAAATCTCGGCTGACTTATCCGACCAGAGGGAGAACGCAATATTCAGCTTATATCTGCTGCTACATCGGACACTCCGACGATAGCATATTCTGTGTGTGGCCACCCCCTTACAGGAGAAAGAGCGAGAGGCACTGATTGATTGAATGAATCAATGCACGGGGCCACTCGAAACTCCGTAATTCCGGAGTCCGCTGCATCAAAATCTGATCATAGTCATACAGCTAGCCTCTTCTTCTTCCTCCCCTGATCTTCATTCTTCCCCAGCCCGCTATGGAGAACGACGGGTCATGTCAAGTTCCAGAACGTTTTGGTGTGGTGCTAGTTATGTTCTGGAAAGTGAGGAGGAGCTATTGAATTTAGCGCTACTGATGATGGTGTTATTATTGAAAATTATGAGCAGCTTTCGCTGGGAAAAAGGGCATTGTACTCCGGCGGAAAGAAGGTTCCCCTTCATTTTAATACATTACTCAAGGAGGTAAAATTCATATCTGATTGATTGATTTGATTGATATGGTGAACGCGTCGGCCGATGTCGGAATGCGCCCCACTCGGAGGCCCGGGTGACCTGTCACATGCGGTTACACGGTTTCCGGTGAACGGATTGCTTTCTTGTCATAATGTGTACGGTGTGGACTGGTCGAGGGTTGAGCGGTACACATTTTTGGTTGCGCGTATGTTGAGAACAAAAGGCACCATTAGACTTTTACTCGTAAAGGGTTGGGGTTACTATCATGGTGAATGGGAAGGAAGGGAAGGAGAGCTATCAACCGAGGTGGGATGACACACGGATGACCGGACACAGAACGCGACAAAGTTATCTGATCCGTATCCAGACTAGCCACCGATCACGTGAACGGTCAGCGGTATGTGCAACCCGGGAAGGTTGTTGTTCCCTCATTCTGAGAGAATA